AGAAAAAAAAATTAAAAATTCTTCTCATACTTAAGGCCTGTATTACATGTCCTGCTTAGTGTTTGTATCGTTCTGGGGTCTTGATGTGACGTCCAGAACAAGTCACTCGTCTGTTAGCTGTATTTGTTTCCATATCGAGTGGTCCCAGATCTTGATGGTCATTTAAAGTGTTGTCTACGATTGGAGCTGATTTCTTAGTGGGACTGTTAACTTGGGTCATGTTGTCGTCTACGACTCAGTAAAGTTCATTGTGTGTTAGGTTTGCCTTTGGTGTGTTTAAGAATTATCTGTTTCTTCTATACAACTTTCCACTAACATCTACCACGTACGACCTTGGTGATTTCTTCTCAACCATCTTTCCTGGAGACCACTTGGGATTACATTTTGTCGATTTCTTCACGAAAACTTCTTGGAAGTTCTATCCTAATAAAGTTTATATTTTCTCTTCTTTAGGCTAAGTTGGTCTTGGACTGAGCACTCTGTCCTTGGTACTAACAAGTTCTTCACTACTGGTATGAGCGTTCTTGTGCGAAGAGACATCAAGCGTTGAATGGGACTTGAGTTGATTCCTTCAGTGGGAGTGTTGCGCCACTCTAATAAAGCCATCCATAGATCTTCTGAGTTTCTTTCAGTTTTATTAATTAAGTATTTTGCTATCTTTACAGCTGATTCAGCCTTGCCATTACCTCTCGGGTGATATGGCGACGATGTGGCGTGATTAAACTCCCATTCTTCTTTTGCAAATCTGTGAAAGTTGGCTGTTTGAAACTGAATTGTCAGTCATCACTGTTAAGGGGCAGCCGTGACGACTGAAGTTTTTCTTTGCAATTTATGTAATAGTGGCTGATGTCAGATCAGGCAGTTTGTCCAATTCAAAGAAATCTGAGTAATAGTCTACTGTGGCAATATAATTGTAATTTTTGTGGTGAAATATGTCAAGCGCTACTCTCTTCCTTAGTAGATCAGGTATTCTATGGGTCTGCATAGGTAAATGAGCAGGAGCCGGTGATAATTCCAAACAGGCCGAACACTCTTGAACTGTCAGTTTAATGTCCTCCGACATATGTGGCCAAAATAATTTAAGCCTTGCCCTTCTGAGACTGGCATCAATGCCTTGATGACTCGGATGTATTCTGTTTAACATCTCTCTTCATAGGGATTTTGGCACTACTAAGCGTTCACCCCTAAAAATGAGTCCATCTTGAATACTAATTTCATCTCTGTATGTCCAATATTGTTTCACTTCATTTGGAAGGGAGTCATCCATCTTGTATGATTTTTTCACTGCGACAAGCTCTTTGTCTTGGTTGGTGTGCTTCTTTATCTGATCAAGTCGATCTTTGGTGACATTTAAATGCTCCGTGGACAATATTACTTCCAATCTGTTGAACATATTTTCCTCCTCTTGTATTTGGTGTACTTGCCATGATTCTAAGTCCTTTTCATTATTTCTTGTCATTGTTTGCGCAGCTCTAACAGGGTGTCTGCTATATACATCTTGCTTCCTTTCTTGTAAAGGAGGTTAACGTTGTACTTTTGTAGTTTAAGCAGAGGTTAACGTTGTACTTTTGTAGTTTAAGCATCATACATTGTAATTGCTTGGGTGCAGACAGAACAGACTTTTTGAAGATATTCAGCAGAGGCTGGTGATCTGTCTCCACCATTATGTCTTCTTTGCCACATATGACGAAAAGGATTGCAAGCGAATAATATGCTCAGACATTCTTTTTCTATTTGAGCGTAGCGTCTCTCTTTTTGGCTCATTGTTCTAGATGCATAGGCCACTGGTTGGCCTGATTGGATTAAAGCACATCCGAGACCTGTGTCACTGGCGTTACATTGTAGCGTTATAGGTTTTGTGATGTCATAATATTGTAAGACCGGAGCTTTTGATAGCATAGTTTTGAGATTCTCGAAGGCATTTGTATGGGTGACATCCCATGTCCATGGCACGTCTTTTTGTGTCAGTTGTCTTAAGACTTTGCACCGATCGGATAATGTAGGGACAAACTTAGCCAGATAGGTTATAAGTCTTAGGAATCTCTGTAGTTCGGTCACACTTTTAGGTTGAGGTATCTTCTGAATGGCTAAAATTTTGGTATTGTCTGGTTTAAGACCGTTTTGCGTTAGTACATGACCCATATGGGCTAATTTTTTTTCTCACAGTTTGAGTTTTTGTTTCTTTAACTTCAAGTTCCTTTTCCGAGCTCGTTCAAGTAAATGCTTCAGCTTTATATCATGGTCCATGACCGCTTCATCGTATGTGTCACCACACCCGTAGACCAGAATGTCATCTGCTATGACGTTGACGCCTTCTAAGCTGGATAATACTTCGTTGAGCCGTGTCTGAAATTCCCTTGCTGCATGCGCTGAGCCAAATGGTAAGGCGCAACCAACGGTAACAACCTTCAGGAGTCCAAAATGTGGTTAAGAAGCTCGATGGTTCATCTAACTCAACTTGCCAATAACCATCATTGGCATCTAAACTAGTAAATACTTTAGCTTTGGCTAAATTTTGTAGAATTTCTTCATTGTTGGAATTTGGTAATGCGATCGTTTTAGAGCCATATTGAGGTCTTTGGGGTCAATATAAATGCGTATCTTGTTATTACGAGTCACAACAACCATGCTGCTTATCCACTCTGATGGTTCTGATACTTTTGTGATTACATTTTTTGTTTCCAATCCTAACAATTTAAGTTTTACTTTTTGTTTGAGTGCTATTGGTACTCTGTGAGGAGCATGTTTGATGGGAACAACATTACTATCTAATTCTAGATGGTACTTTCCTGGGAGTTTGCCTTCAAAAACATCATTAAATTCACTAAGAATGTCCGCTCTGTCCCAAGGCTTCATCGTTTCTTGCACGGAGCACAGATTCTCTTTAACTTCTATTAGGCCTAGCTTGGCACAAGATTCGATTTCAGCCTTAATTTCAGCTAAGGGCTTTTGATAAGGGGACTTAACTATTTGCAAGACTAAGTTGTAAACCTTGTTGTCAATACCACATTCAAGACCTGTTGCACTACCGGTTCAATGACTTTGCCATCGTAGCATTTGAGTTTGATTTGGCTTGGCCTGAAATGAGGGCTGTGATCACAAATTAGTTTATTGTAATCTTCAATGTTAATCGTGTTACTGGAAGATCCAGTGTCTAACTGACATTTAAAAGTCCTAAATTTACCGTTACAACTTAGTTGTAACTCAGTGAACCATTGTTTCGTAAATTATGTGCAGTAGGACTATAAGGAGTGCTACTACTGACTTGGAATAGTGAAAACAAGAATCTTCGCTATTGTCATTACTTGATGGTTGTGATTCCTCACAAATAAAATGCAGTTGCTTGCAGTTATATTTAGATTTAGGCCTACTAGAGGTCTGTTGTCTGTTAAAATTTGCATTTGCTTTGAAATAGATTAGCTCTGTAAAGTTTAACTTGTTTGCATACAATAGAGAAATGGTTAAGTTTACCACAATTTCTTGACAAGTCTTGCCAAATGCAGGACATAGAGATTTTTTCCATTGATGAAGGTTTCCGCAATAGATACAAGTCTTAGGTTTAGAATAACTTTAGTTGGTCCTATCTTGTGAGTAGACGGGCGATGTCTTATTCAATACCTCATCTTCGGTCTCTTTTTGGGTAATAATCCTCTTCAATTGTTTATTTGTAGCTTCATGAACTTTACAGGTGACAATAGCCAAGGTTAATGTAAGCTTACAATTTCCCAATAGCTTTTTGCAAAGGCTGACATCTAAAACACCTTAAACTCGACGATCTTGTATGAGCTCAGACTCCAAGTTCTCAAATTTGCATAAGGATGCTAGATGACGCAGCCTACAAACATATTGATTAATGCTTTCATACGCTTCTTGGTTGGCCGAGCCAAATAATGGCGATGAAGCTTAAGCTTGGTTTCTTTTCAGTCTCTTCTTCTTCTATAAACAGGCTTGGGGCACCACCGCTGCCACCACGTTACTCACCGGTCATAAGAATACTGCTGCTGCTGTCCTCAGTCGGCGACAGTTGGTACTGATAGGCTATTGGGCTTTTGGTAATATGTGGCCAGTTCATCCCATGTATAACACACATTGTAAGGTCGGGTGTTCCACAAGGATCCATGACGTCAAGTAGTTTATTTTTAATTTTCATAAATAACCTTTTGGAATTAACATTCAGAGGATAAATGCATTTGCGTACAATGTTGCTTTATTTTACTCGCATCAAAGAGAGCAGGTGATATATGAAAGCATTACACATTACTTGGCGCTGCTGAGAGAATAGTGTGTAAAAAACAATATTCTTAACCTATTTGAAACTTTCTGACATTTCCCGTCCAGCTCTATCTTCCCAACAAGACTATTCTTAGGTTACCAACTGGAAGACCTGAAATGAAGCATAGTACACTTTTCAGAATTCAGTTTAAGACCGAGATCATCTGACCATTGCTTAGTACTATGAGGGTAGTATCATTGAGTATACACGTAAAAGAGTTGTCACATAATGCTATTAGTTGTTAGAAATTTTGGCGACGAAGTTCGGGCCGCTGACGCTTGGGTCGCGTAGTCTGTTGGTAGTGCAGTGCGCCTCTGAGGACCTTTTAACCATTTAGCATTAAAAATTTATTCTAAAACAACAAAACTAGAGTGACAAAAATAAAATTTTATAGCCCACAATAAAAGCAATAATAAAAAAAACAACCAAACTGCCTTACTAACAAGCTCGAGGTGGAGTAGTTCGGGCCACTGACGCTACTCTGCAACAGCGCTCTTCAGGTAACGATAACCTCCATTGAGTGGCTACTCTAGTACGTGTATACTCAATGGTTATATGGTATATGTTGCTCCCAAATTGTCCAAATTGTTATGACTGACTTTTGTGAATAACATTAAGAACTCTACTATTCAACTTCCATTAAAAAACATATAGATATTCATCGAGTTAACAAATATATTTATTAGCACATTTACAAAGCTATGTTTGATTGACTGGTCTACTTTACCTTGTCAGTTTTGCCGATGAGCAGTGATGGTGGAGGTTTAAGCTGACACCGCAGCTGGTCTCTGTTAGGACTGTTCTGTATAACAGCCTGACATATCTGATAGCTCCGCTCCAGGTTGACGGCTCCTGGCGGAGGTTTACTGGACACATTACGAGACGATCTGCCACCCGATCCACCAGAACTGGGCTGTGAATAAAATGAGAATTCTTTTTTTATTTAGCGATGTGATGGTTGCAATTTTTATTGATTCAAGTTTTATTTGATTGTTTTGGGGTATTTTCAATTTAAGGAGTTAAAATTAACACAATTAAATTCTACAATTATCATAAATAATATATTACAAATTGAGTAGCCTGCTATAAATTAGTATTTATGAAAATAAAGAATGGTAAAAATCTTTATTTGTAATAGGAAAGATGATTGCGAGATATGTTGACAATGGTGCCGTGATCGTGGGACATGTTGAAGATGGGGCAACGAACGTGGCATATGTTGACAGTGGCTTTGTGATCGCGGCAGATATACAGTCATTAGGACATTGTTATGAGTAAACATTGAAAAATTTATGATTACTAAAGCCTAAAGCTTATAATGCTTTTCTGTAAGTACCCATATCAGAGCTAAATACCCAACTCAGTTACCCAACAGTTATCTATTTGTGGTTAGCTAGCAGTATTTATAGTTATTAGATTGATGTTCCACAGTTATTCGCACCAACAATTTAATTTTGTTAGTTAAAAGTTTTGTTCCTTGTATATTTTACCCATTATTTTTTTCAAAACTGTGCTAATTGATCTTGTTTGTCATTATTGCTAACTACAAAAATAATTCTTTAAGATTTTTAAAACAAACTCTTTTATGCACAGAAAAAAAATCTTGTCCCATCCCAAAAGATAGAGAAGGAAATAAATAGGTTTCTTGTCCAACTATGAACTAAAAATACAATCCCGTCTATCTCTAAATATAGGAGAGCAAGCTAGTCTAGTGGTTAGAGCGCAGAACTTAGGGTTCAAATCCCGCCAAATCACCAATGGATTTTATCTAAGTGATAATGCCACAACCCCTAAGTCTACCTGAAGTAATGTGAAAAACAATCCCGGGCTCGTGCCTAGCGTCCTAGGACAAAAATAAATCTCCAAAAGTTAGGGATGGATGAGATTGGATTTTTAGTTTGAGACGAGACAAGACAAGATGGGATTTTTTATTTCTGATAAAATTTTGAGACAGGATTTCCCTTCTCATACATAACGTGAAATGCATGTTCGAAATTTTTTCCTAATTTTGTCACATTTTTTAATACCTACTGATTTATGACAGGTGACTGGTTAAATACAAAAATAATATTAATAGAGAAGAATATTTAAAATCTTTTATTAAAAATATTAATAAAAACTTTATTAAAAAAAATACAAATATTAGGCTAACTAATTAAGTTTACTTTATCTATCTATACCCTATCCTATACTATTATTATATAATAGTGTGTATTATATTATATAAAATTCTAATGGTGTCTGTCTGTATGTGTGTTACTAATAGGTGCAAAAACTACTGAACCAACTGGGCTTAAATTTTACAAAAATATAGCTACCATCAAGGACCATTATATGACTATTCACATTTTGATACTGACCGTGGGCTTTAAAAGTTCTGAGGTGAGGATTTTAAAAGTAAATATTGATTGGTCTCCATGGCTGCAATGAGAATACTAACAATGTTTACATTTGCTTTGACATTTCAATGTAAACCAGAAGAACTGCCAAATTGCATATTTCACAATTTAAGACAGCAGCTGCAGTTTAGGACAATGAAATTAAATATAATATTTCACACAATTATGTGATTGGTTTATTTAATCTAACAATTTATCAAAGATCATTTATTAAAAAACTATGTCAATGATTATAGAAATTTAAAAAAATATTCTAAAAGCGTTGCTGTATCAACTCAGGCTCTGCTTTCGATTTTTAAAAGTCGAAAATAATGTTATTGACATATTTTCATGGAAACAGTAAGAAAATTACAATGGATAGATGTTTTGTATGCATTTGGAGGCTACTTTAAATAAATTCAAACTGCTTAACATGTGTTATATTAAATTAACATAACTTGCACATCACATAGTTTTTTTTATATAAACAATATGTAACGGGTCAAATGTGTAGGGGGTAAAATAACGGCTAAACCACGAAACTTAAACAGCTGAATGTAAGCTGTTGTTGTGCCCTAGTCGCGACGCTAAACTGACATCGTACCTAACCTCGTATTCCAAGACCGCAGACGACGTTGGTGTCAGTTTGGTTGTTTGGTTGTTTGGTTGTTCGACTGCGTCTGAGGACGGGCTACGGAAGAAAAGAAGAGCAGCGGAGCCACCTCTTGAGTGGTACGCGGCTATAAGCATGTTGAAGCTGTCATGCACCTGCCTTCGCCGGCACGGGACTCAGCTGACTCTGTTTGTGCTGACCAATCAGGGAGCGTTTTAACCTTCGTCTCGAATCTGAGACGAAGGTGAAGAGAGAAGAATAAGGATTGTCATTCGGATTCCCGGCCTTTTAGGCATTCGTTCGTTCGTCTTCGGTTTAAAGAGATTTTGTTCAACTTCTTTGTCGTTTTAATCAGTTACGTTTCGCGAGCTCTGAAAGCTTGCCGGTAAATTAAAAGTGGTGTGGTGAAAGGGTTTTGAGTAAACAATAATTTTCGTCATCTTGGTAAGTTTTGAAATAAACGACTCAGGTTTTCGTACCTTACCTTACCAGTTTTTGGTTGGGATAACTTTGTCGAAGTTCGTAGGCTAGGACTGACTCTCCGATCTAGTCATACATTTTAACCAACTAATTTGGTAAAGTACTGCAGCTGGTGACATCGCTTTTAGCGAATTTCCCATATAGGGAATAAGCTATTACCGTAGGTCTCATGGTAAGACCTAGACCCGGGACCGATTTACTTTTTCGTTTTGAGGTCCCCAGAGGGCAAAAACACCATCCGTTCAAATTCATATATATATATATATTTATATATATATATTTATATATGTGTCCGTTAGCGCGATAACTCGAGCAAAATTGATCCGATTTTGATTAAATTTGGTACAAACGTGTAAACCTATGTTTATTCGAACGAGTTCGCGAACCAGCATGATCGGACCATGTGATCAGGGGTTTATGGGGGGTTTTATGGGGTAAAAATGGGTTTTTCTCATTTTTGACCCTAAAAACTTTAAATTTCTAAATTTCTCTCTAGACCATTTTGAAGAGCTTAATAAAACAAATAATTTAGTATATTGAAGTGTTTTTGAATGTTCATTGACTACGGAGAAAATTAAAAAAATTGTAAATTTAAAATTCCCATGTTATTCTTATGGAGAATAAATAAACTGTTCTAGTTTGCTTGTTTATGGATATATTTTAATCAAATTTGGCAATTTGGTTTATTTCATACTAAGCTATCAATATTTCAATTGAAAAAACACATCTTAACATCTTCCCCGTAGCATCAAACCTAACTACTCACTAAAATTAATGTTATTTAAATAGGAAATAAATCTGAAAATTTATAGGGAATATTTTAGTAGAAATAAAGCCGGGTAAATGGAAATTCGCTTAGTATGCAGGTTTGCTGCGACGGGGGTATTTAATTACATTTCATAATCCATCTTGGGACTTTCCTTTTTAGTTCTTAAACCCTTTTAAAAGTTCCATAAACGTCCCAAAGTTTGTTCCAGCAGACAGGTTTCTGCTGGACAAGTTCTGTCGAAGTTGGTTCAAGTTGACCACGTGAGAAAGTAGAAGTTTGAATTTTCGTTCTGGCTCAAGGAGCAGTTTTATTTTTAGTTCAGTTTTTCCCGTTTCTGGTCTCACCTGGGCAACTTAAGCCAACTTGTGTTTTTTTGTTTGTTTAATAAACTCGGACTCTGTGGGAATTAGGCTAGGCTAGGCCTATCTCATACTAACCTTGTTTGTTACAGGTTAACGTCTTAACTCCGTAGGTAAGCGGGGTGACTACTTAGCTTACTAGTTGTCTCGTTAAGTTAGCTAGTAGTGTCACATAGATATTTGCCCACAGAGTCAAGTTAAAATAATTAATTTCCCCACAAGCCCTAGACTAGAGTGGTGATTTCAAGTGTGGTGTTTGGTAACCCGCAACGTTCGTCTTGAGCTCTGATAACCAGGGCTATCAAGTTTAGGCTACCCAAATCACTATCGAATCCTGGGAAAATCCCCGCGACCAGACTTGGGCGATTCCTGGGATCCCGTTTATCGTATCGGTGGCGTAATTTCCCACGTGTCGCCAGCCAGGAAAATTACGTCACAGATATATAATAATATATATATAGGGATGGACGAGATTGGATTTTTAGTTCGAGACGAGACGAGACAAGATTTTTTATTTCTCATAAAATTTCGAGACGAGATTGAGACGGGATTTCCCTTCTCATACACAACGGGAAATGCACGTTCAAAATTTTTACCTGATTTTGTAACATTGTCAGATGACTGTTTAAATACAAAAATAATGATAATAGGCAAGAATATTTACAATATTTTATTAAAAAACATCAGCATAACATTTTTTTATTAATCACGCCTAACTTATTAAAAATGCCTACGATTAGGAAACATAGTGATATCAGTTAGGATAGAGTTCAACTTATCCTAAAATAAAATAAATCATAAAATAAAAGCAATATTAATTTTTATAAAATAGTTACTTGTTTTGACTTTTTATAGTAATAAAACATTCCTCACACTGCTTACACTTAACAAAACTTCTCAAATGTTATTAAAGTAATATTATTAAAATAATTAAAGTAATATTTACATTTAAAGAATTAATTAAATAAGAACGCCTTCGCAAAGGAAACGCAACTACAACACGCTCCTGTATTGCGGGTATTGCATTGACTTTCTGCAGGCGTTTTTAATTTTTTTTTTTTTATTCTCGTCTCGATAAAAATCTCGGCCAAAAAGAAATCTCGTCTCGTGTAACGAGATTTAAAATTTCCCGAAATTTCGAGACTTGACCATCCCTAATATATAATATAAAATCCTGTTTACTGTTTAGGTAAATTTAGTTATTGTGTTTTGCTCTATGCTTAAATGAAACTAAAGAATATCATCAATAACTAAATTGTACGTCATTATTGATTTTTGTGTTCTTAAATCTGTTGTATGTGTAACTATATTCAATTATCAAATGGTAATACAAATACTCTTATTTTATCTTAACATAGCTTTCAGTTAACATTTATTTTATTTGATAATTTTTTTATTTGTGTTTTGTCAAACAACTGATTAAATTAAACCAAGGAAAATATCATAAAACTACGTAGTACACAGTGTTCTTTTGTTTCTAAAATCAATTAAGTGACTTGTTTTGGCTATGCTAAACATGTCTCACACTGCTTACACTTAACAAAACCTCTCATCATTTGTGATATAAAAATCAAAAATTATAAAACAGCAATATTTACATGTAAAGAATTAATTAAATAAGAACGCCTTGGTAAACAAAACGCAACAATAGCACTCTCCTGTATTGCGGGTATTGCATTGTTTTTCTGCAGGCTTTTTAAATTTTTTTTTATCTAGTCTCGAAAAATCTCAATCAAAATAAAATTTCGTCTCATAGAACAATATTTCAATTTTTTCAAAATTTTGAGACACGTCCATTCCTACAAATAATGAAACACAAAAAGAAACCAACTACACTCTGTTGAAAATCAAAAAGTGCAATGTCTAATACTGGACAATTTCACACACACATTCAGATTTAACAACAAATAGCTACTTGTGTTTTAATTTCCAGCCCCCAAAAAAGTACAGGTGTGCAGGTCATCGGTATTTTTGGGTCAAGTAGAACAAACAGTTGGCCCGGGAGGTTGATTCAAGCCTGAAAAAATTCACAGGCCAAGCTGGTTGGCGTGACCATGGCTGTTGTTCTCGGTTTTGTTGTGACATGACAATGTCGCCATGACTGCGGCAGATGTTTATGATTTTTCCCCTAAAGAAATTCTTAATCCAACATTGTAGACAAGGTTATAGGGTATAGGGTACTGTGTATCTATTAGTTCTTGGACTCTTAATTTTCTCTGGTAAGCTAGCTGAACTCTATAAATTTTTAAAATCAATTTACAAGTTTATGATAATTATATTATGATTATATCATTATCATATATATGTCAATAAACAACCAGTGTCAAACTCTTACCTTAGGCTTTGTGGGCAGTGCTCGTACAGCTGTTGTGGTAGTCAAGGCTAGGTAGGGTACAGCGGATGAACTAACCACTCCTTGTGGCGGGGGTTGATGTGGCGGAGCAGATGTCACTGGGTTGATGGAAGGTAGACACACAAATGTAGTGGGGGGTATAACATTGACAGGCGCCGCAGTGGTCTTGGGCAATGTGTCATCTGTGGGGGCTGAGACTCGTGAACCACTGGCTACACCTCCCCCCTCCACTGTACTAGACACCTGACTGTCTACCTCGGGAGTCAGCGTCACTGTAATACAACACTCAATCATACACTAAAACATTCCATGGTTTATTGGTTTGTACAAATCCAACCCTTTCTTTAATGTAAAGACTTTTGATAGGATATCAATCTTTAGCTAAATGGGAAGACAACACTCAAGTACAAAACACAAAATCTTTGACCTTATAAACAAACATTTTTCATTATACTTACAGATTGACTTTGAAATGTTTATGTTGGGAATAGTTGGGGTATAGTTCAGGTCTTAAGGTAGCCAGAAGTGGTTGGATTAATTTTTTTGGCCTTTATAAATAAAGCGTCATGTGATGAGAGAATTCTTCCTATTTGGGTAAGCCTGCTGTCCTTACACCTATGCTTTGTAATCTGTTACATCCTTAACTCTTCTTGGAGGATGGAGTCAGTTACATCAGAACCTAGATTAACTGTGGTTACATTACATAACCTCATGACCCAAGAAAAGTACTAGGGATGGACTGGTCCCAAAAATTTGGGAAATATCCGGGGGAAAATATTCACGATTTTCGGGACGGATTACATTTAATTCGGGAATATTTCTGGACAGCATTTGATCCCATTGTCGGCGATTTTCCTGACTCCGCTATCACGAGGGATGTTCACGATAGTTCCGTGACCGCGAGTAGCTTCGATGATCGCGCCGTGACCGCGAAGTCATACCGACGATAACGTTGTGACCTGGGAGTCATACAGTCGATCACAACTTGACCTCAGAGTCATACCGACGATTCCGTTGAGACTGCGAGTCATACCAACCGTTCCTGCCGTGACCGCAAGTGATTTTGATGATCACACGAGTTATTTTGACCGCGAGTCACAAGTTTCTATACATGTATATTTAACCCATTCCTTGGTTTTGATAGATCAGTGCTACAAATGGTAAAAGTTTATTTTGTTTCTCTTTTTTGGTAACTGCAATACTCAAAACTTTCTTTTTATGCACAGGAAAAAATCCCGTCCCGTCCCAAAAATCGGGAAGAAAATAAAAATCCCGTCCCGAACTAAAAATTCAATCCCGTCCATCCCTAAAAAATACCAAGATAATTTTTAAAACTGTGTTTCTTAATTCTACTGCATTAAACATGCATAGTATATTAAACTATTTCAGTCTATTATTCATATGCATTAGGCTCCCACATCATAGATTTTTAAATATCACATTCATATGAAAAAATAAAACAATACAATAAATGAGAAACAGAACAAAGAATTATCGATAGTGAACTCCAAGGTGACAGACAGGCATCTAAGAAGCAAAGACTGATGACGACATAATACTCAGCTGCCTGTGATTGGGTGATCAGTAACCATGGTAACTTATACAGGTTACTTATAGGTATCATTATACAGTATGACACTAAGGTTATCAATACGTAAACCTGACGAAATGCAGGCCAGTTTACTATAGACAAAGGGTATTGACACGTAAATTTGACGTATGTGTTCCAAGAAACCGACTAGCAAGGACAGAAACACACTACAACCCAACCAAGGCAGCAGTCAGTAGGAAAATGACTGCTGAGAGCACTGCTGGAAGAAGGGTAGCGTCGGTTGCGGGGGTGGGACGCTAAAAATAACTCACCCTAAAAAATTCCCCTTGTAAAATTTACGTGCGATTCCTATCTAGGGTCAATAGCCTGTGATTGGGTGATGAGTAACGGTGGCAACTTGTTTTCAGCTATCCGTGGTTTTACTCCTCCAATTACCCTGGATAATCATCCAGATTCTATTGTATTTTTTTACATTCAAGTGTCTATAAGTAAAATTATTAAACACTTAAACATTTTTTTAAAATCATTTTATGCTTATAAGTTATAACTATTAAAAATATCTCTATAAAAAATATCTCCTGTATGGTTCAGAAAATTGGATCTTAAGCAAGAAATCAGAAAGGAAAGCTATTGTATTTGAGAACAAGATTTTGAGGAAAGTGTACGGACCGATTTTTGAGGATGGACAATGGAGATCGAGACATAATTGGGAACTTAGAGAATTATTTAAGGATCCGGATATTGTTGCTGAGGTACGGAGCAGAAGACTGAGATGGGCAGGGCATATTCTAAGAAAAGATGACAACTCCCTATCAAAGAACATCTTGAGGAATAACCCAGAAGGTAGAAGACCCCTTGGAAGACCGAAACTTAGATGGTTCGACCAAGTGGAGAAAGACCTGAGGAAGCTAGGGAGAAGGAAGGAAGATGCAAGAAGCAGAGACCTATGGAGGCAGTGTGTTGGGGAGGCCAAGTACCATCTAGGGTACCAGTGGCCACAGCAGTAAGTACTTAAGTAAGTAAGTAAGTTATAACTATTATATAGAAGAAAACAAAAACATCCAAAACTAATGATCAACCATCACTGTGAGATGTTTAAGTTAAGGTGTGTTGATAACATACCTTCAAGTTCCAGTTTGACATGTCCAGGGTTGGTCTGTGTAAGTGGTGTCATTGCCCTAGTGTCATGAGGATAACTAGACCAGCCTGGTACTGACTTGATCTCTTCCAGTCTAACCTCTAGCTCCTCCTGCATGGGGATCACGTTCACCTCACTCTCCTGAATACAACACCACATAATTGTAGACAACTCACCACTTTAGAATTAATTTATTGGCATTAAATCTCTGAGGATGCGAAATACTACCCCCCAGAAAACTACCCTCACAGGTAAAACGTGACATCACGAAATCTGCCAATTAAACAATACGAGAGCCGTATCCGCGACTGGAATACTAACCACCCCTAGCAAAATGTGATGCTATGTATTAAGGTTAATTTCAGTAATAAATATCATTGTAATTTTAATTAGAGTAATTCCGTTTGATAACAGAAAAGGCATGTAGGGAATATCAAACAAAATTTTGAAATGTTACAGCAAGTTTGGATGGTTAGGTTAGGTTAGTTTAGAACCGTTTGACAACGAAACTTAAGTGTCCGTGACTCAAAAACTGCCCCCCGATCTCTGACGTCAACATGACGTATGAACCTTCTTGAAGGGGGGTAGTTGTCCGGGGAGCAGTCTTCCGGCGACTCAGGTCCTTAACATTGAAAATTTGTTTATTAGTCTGTAGTTAAAAAAAAAACAATTCCAAAATCATATTGATAAACTCTATAATTACTTTCATTTGACACCGTGTTCTAATTTAGCACACCATAAAATAAAAAAAAATAAACAAAATTAAGAGCATTTATATTGGAACACAACACATTCACCTTTTATGTCATATTGTCAAATCATACCTCAGGTAAGGTGACTTGTGCCAGTAGTTTCTCTGTGCTGGAGTCCACAGCTCCCCAAGCGGCGGCAAACAAGGCAGCAGCCTCCACCTCTTCTTCCTTGAGAGGGTCGTGGTACAACAGTGTATTGGTGTTGTACATACTGAACTGATCATTCTGCATCACTCCACCAGAGGCTTCCATGTCTGTCGTCTCTTCTGCTGCCACTGTCGTTGGAACCTGAAATCACATACCTTAGTCTTACAAAGCTCTTGATGAAATAGGTTGTTTATAACAAACAGATAATTGAGGCCTGTTTTTGTCTTGCATTTGCTTGTCCACAATAGCCTCTGGTCTTTAAATCACGTTACACAAATCAAGAGATGAGTCGATATCCCATAAGAATGAACTGGGCCGGATTTCTCAATAGGCCCAGGCCTATGGGCGCAAGCTCCAGGGGGTGCATAGCCGAGGGGAAAAACTAAAATATTTTTAGGCTACCTAAAAATAAAAATAAATAGCCGTAGCTTAACATATCTTAGAAATTGATTTTTTTAATCAATCTAGTAGAATTAAAAGTAGTTTAGAAGTTAATTGGAACGAATAACTGTTGGTAAAGTAGCCTTAAACTATTTTTCAATATTACTCAACAACTTAAAAGATTAGTCTTAAACAAGCTATTGGGAGAAGGCTATAGGGATGTTGTCAAGCGGTACTCATCATATGGCCACTGTTTCTATGCTGGCTCGGCGCTACTAACTGCTCGGTGTGGTTAATTGCGTTTAGTTACCACCCTCACCTCGCAAAACAAAAGTATTAAAAGATTAACCAATCTTTTGATTAGCTTACAACAATCTGCAGGGTCAAGTTAAAATATATCATTCATTGTGTCGAATGTTAAAATCCTAGTTGAGAGAGCATTATACTAGATGAGTTTTAAAATAACTAACGGCCTTAAATTTAACAATTGCTAACAGAAATGATGGTGTTTTTAACATTATTGTACTTATTGACAGAAATTGTATTAGGTAGTTATAAGGATTAGTATAAAAAAATAACACATGTTCAATGTACTAACCCTACAAAACAACAGTTAAAGAATGTTTTGACTTTGACTTAGAAAAACTGAGTCCATCTTTAAAATTAAAGGGAAAAAAATGTTAATCTAAGTTTGCAATAGGTTTTAGAAAAGTTGAATAACCTCCAATGCACCATTTTATTTCTGTCATTCTTTTCTCAGGCCTGAAGATTGTTATGGTTGGCCAAAATATATTGCTTTGCAAATGTAACCTAAATAGATTCTAGATGCAGTATCGCCAGACTAACAAAAACAAGTGGATGTCTTCTCATCTGATATCCATTGTATATAAAGATTTTTTCCATCTCTAGTTTATGTTGGTGACCATGAGTGATAGAGACAAAGAAATTTTATTTCTATTATTAAGGGTTATTGATTTGTGCTTTACTTTCTATTGTTTATAGTTAAACTGTTTTATTTGGTTAAAGGAAATAAAAAATAACTTCAACTGAAATAACGAGAATTGTCTTCAGCTGATCAAGTATAAAAATTAAAAATCTACTAAGGAAGAGGTATGTTTAATCTATAGTATCATGCACTAATGTAGAGTGGAGTTCATGTTTGTGGGCCTGAAATTTGTAGCCGCTGTGACAGCAGCAATGGCCACGCTTTGTTGCAAAGAATGTTCTGCGAGTTGGATCATTTTGTTTCAGTCCCACAAATGCCAGCTCATTATTTAATAAATAATTTTGCTAAAGTGTTATAAGACAACATTTAAGGCCAAAACCAAATCAATTCCTCAAAAACTTGGAAGAATAAAATTGTATTTTGGACAGGTGTTTAATCAACTAACATGTGGATAGTTTATGCATTTTTTTAGTTAATGTATGCAGGAAGATAATTTTAACCAGACTAGGGGGCGGAAAATTGATTGGGCCTAAGGGAGCCAAAATGCTAAATCCGGCCCTGAGAATGAACTATATTGATAAATGTTAGTGGCTGCCATGGATTCATAGAGCATCAAGCATCATTTTATTTTCTTAATCCCTTAATATAACCAACCTAAACTTATGAAAAAAATCAGTTTTAATTTAAACATTGAAATAGGGATATTATTTTGTTTTTAAAATAAAACAATTAAGTAGCCTAATTTAAAATTACGTATCGATGGTACCAGAACCGAGAATCAATTTTGGTTAGCAACCGGTACCGGAACAGACATTGAAAAAAGGCACCGACCCATCACTAATTCCTAGCTAAAATAAGATTTACAAAAGTCTACATTTTTAATATAGGTAGTCTGATTAATGTGGAAGATTAATAACCTTTTTCAGTCCAAAATGTGGACACTCACCTCAGGTTCAGGCAGGGTCAGATGACCTGCTTGGCTCGTCTCTTCTTCTTGCCTGGTCTCTTGACTGTCCAGACTAGGCAGGTTGCTGGTAGAGTCTTGCTGATCAACGTCCTCCATCTTAACTGAGTAACTCCCTGAGTCTTTGACATCCATCTGTGAATCCATCGAGTCTTGATGACTCGACTCTTGATTACTCTCCATCACACTGGGAGTGTGGAGAGAAGTTTCTTGACTGACAAACTCCAAGTGGTCCTGAATATCCGCCATATCTATGTCAAATCTTCTTGTGTTCACATTTTCCTCAACGGTATCCACAAGTTTATTGTTGGTGATTTCTTCCCCAGTTACATTTTCAGCATTATTGCTACTTAAACTCATTTCTTCGTTTTCATTCCTGATACTTTGATGTTCAAGAGCACTCTCTTGACTGTAATTTTCACTTTCTTTTTGCAAAAAAATATTACTATCTTCTTTTATACATTCGGAACTGTAAACACTTAATGCTTCCTCCTTCAATTCTTCTTCTTTTAAGTTGTTTAAGCACTCATCTTTATCATTTGGTTTATCACAGGTATCGTTTTGAGTTGTGTCTTGACTGATTTCACTATCACCGGGTTCGTTTTCTATGCTTTTAGAAGCATTTTCATCTTCGATTGTGTGCCGGTATTGCTGTACAAACAAGTTATCATCCATGATGTCCTCCACAGCAATAGTATTGACGACATCATACTTTTCGGATATTTCGTATTGAGGATCAACAGGTGAATCACTTTGCACAGCATTGTCACCATTGTCACTTTCAACTGTAACAAACTCATTACTTTCTTCTTTGTCTTCCACATTTTGAGATTCTTCCTCAACACCTCTTTCTTCTTCCATTTTATTTTCACCTTGGGTCACTTCTTTCACTTCTTCTTTCACAACCGAATCTTCTTGAACTTCTTCACTAGCACTAATATCACAAACAAACTTATCACTTTCATTGATTTGATTACACTCTTTTTCCACTTGAGTGTTCACATCAACATATTCTTGAACCGGATCTACACTTATTACTTCTACATTTTCCCAATCAGTAATTTCTAGCTCTGTACATTTTTTGCTGTTATCTACTTCATCTTTAACTTCCTCTTGACAGACACTTTCTTCCTTCCACTCTTCTTTTCCTGTATCCAATTCTTCTCTTACTTCTTCACTGCTCGATTTCACTTCTTCATTACGTCTACTACTATCCCTGGTCTTACATCTGGGTGATATTGAAGGTTCAGATGAAATTGTTTCTGTTGATATTATTGCTGCAGGTTCAGCAATTTCTGGAACCACACCAAAAGACACAATGAGACTACATGGCATGAGGAGGTACACATAAATCTCACTAAATGGTTTACTAAAAGTAAATGATTTGGCACAGTGGTTGGATTATGGGGAATACATCAAAGTTATACAATTAAAATTCATGTTTTCGGCCCCTGGACTATATTGTTAAGACAATAATAGGTTTTTTACATACCTCAGTCAAATAGTCCAAAAATGGTATTGCTCAACAGCTTACATGTTTCGTTGCGAAGACAACATTATCAAAGCTTGCAACTCGTCAAAAACACATTTAAAACACGAACACGAACACAGAAGACATTAATACGGTACGAATACACAATTGACATTTAGATAGCGCTATCATAATACTGATTTGGTCCGGCGCGGCGCGGGGCTGGTAGCAGACTGGAGGTCACGTCACGTCGTCTCCTCTACTGTTATCCACCAAATATGTATATATTTGTATATATACATGTATATATTATTATTTATTTATTTATGTATATATTATTATTTAGTAAGTTATGTATATATTTGCCCAGATTGCCCATGCAAATATATAGGCCAGACGGGTCGGGCATTTGAAACCCGCTACAGAGAACATAGGCCAACTCCAAAAATGGTCAAACAAAAATCAGCCTTCGCACAACACCTGGTTGATTCAAATCACTCAATGAGTAGCATTGACGATGGTTTAAAAATTCTACATGTCTGTGGGAAAGGTAGCAAACTTGACACCTTGGAGGAGTTCGAGATTTATAAAATTTATAATGACGAACAGTGTAAGGACCACATCCTTAACGAAAAATTACAGTTCCAGTCTCACTCGATTTTTAATACAATATTAAACTCAGGAACAGCTGATCGAAGATCTGATAACATCAGTGATAACAGTAGAGGAGACGACGTGACGTGACCTCCAGTCTGCTACCAGCCCCACGCCGCGCCGGACCAAATCAGTATTATGATAGCGCTATCTAAATGTCAATTGTGTATTCGTACCGTATTAATGTCTTCTGTGTTCGTGTTCGTGTTTTAAATGTGTTTTTGACGAGTTGCAAGCTTTGATAATGTTGTCTTCGCAACGAAACATGTAAGCTGTTGAGCAATACCATTTTTGGACTATTTGACTGAGGTATGTAAAAAACCTATTATTGTCTTATACAATTAGTCGATTTATTTAGCCTAATTGCCAGATGATCTAATCTTCAGAATAAAAAAGGTAAATGGGTTGTGGTTAAACTTAAGTATTGTTTTTAATTAGTCAAAACATTCAGATGGAGCCAAAATGGAAGATGAAAATGTAGTTGAGCCACCTAATACCCCAATGAAAAAAAAGTACGATTCCCTCTCGCTTGATAAATGTGTGCCTGTTGGTGGGTCATGACAATGCGCAAAATATGAGAAGACTAAAATCTACACTTGTTAGAAGACTGGGCATTTGGTGGATATAAAAAATGTGCTAACTATGGATAAGTCGATTCTAGATACCACCAATGAAGTTTCCGTGACCGCGGGAGTCAATGATGAAGTCTACATGGCCGTGGGAGATAATCAGAATTTTGCCGCGACCGCAAGAGATGTTCATGATTTTGCCACAATGTGGTCATCACTCATCTGCGGGAGGTGATTAGATTTTTGCCACGACTGCGGGAGATGATGACAATGTCCACAAAACCGTGAGAGATGTTCATGATTTTGCCGCAATCGTAGGAGATAATGATAATGTCCACACGACCGCGTGGGAGATGATCATGATATTACTTAGTATTACATTACAACATAAGTACATCTCCAACATAAGTTATAATTAAATAGGGGCGAGTACTCGACTGTCAAGTAATTACTCGACTGTTACCAAATACTCGACCTCGAGTCGAGTAGTAACTACTACTAGTAAAATTCGAGTCGAGTAGTTATAAATAGTGCCACTTCACGATTTTCTACACCCTACACCCGTATTTTATAAAAGATATTTGTTTTGTGTTAGTCTTATTTAATCCCCATTCCTACAAAAAAAAAAAAAAAACTATCTAAATTCATATAGGCTAGTCCAGCATAAACCAAATGTTCAACAAACAATCTTTGTCATCCGGCAGAGCTAGCAAGAGGTATAACTAACTACTTTGACTTACTTTCCTACAACAGTCAACAATAGGTCTCGATAACGATACGGTAAGTTAAATGAAATAAAGCATTGAAAAAAATCTATCGAGTTACAGTAGTCGATTGTCAACAAGGGAGTCTCGTGACTAGTAAGTCATAGGCAGACGATTCTTGTAGATATTATAAACCAATGCCAAAAATAAAGAAAAAAAATACAAACCCAAACACCACATTCAAGTTATTTAATGATTAAGTTATTTAATGATTAGATTAAGTTTGAACTGCCATCAAAATATTTAATACCAAAATATGGTAATACAACAAATAAAAATAATCTATTATTGCATAATATTTTTTCACTTTAATCAGTATTGGTGTTTAGTTTTAGAAGCTGATAAGTTACTGCAAGGAACATCGATGCATTGGAATTCGGAATGACGCAATCTCATTGGGCCTTGGCAGAAAGATCAGTTCCACTTCTAACTCAGTGTTGCCAGATGGACGATAATTTTTGTACTTTTACAACTGTGGTAGTGACGTAAACAAACTATAAGTATAATTTTCTAATGAGTTTACATAAACATGATAAGTTAGTCAAACTATCATCTTTTGTTTATGAATTAAAAGCTATAGCAATTTTATGATAATTTTGTCGACATTCACCATTTAATGATGTAATGATAAATATAGCAACGTCAGTAGGGGTGGGCAAGTACTTGAATAATATTACATGTTTGAACATTACATCTTCAATTTTATTTGTAGCAAATTTGCTAAAGCCGGCAAAACAATGTAGCATTTTTAAATTGTGTAGGTATAGCAAAATGCTAAATATGCTACCGCAGCTGGGTAGGCCTACTTAATGCGCAACTACTCGACTCGACTCGATACTCGAGTTTTTACTCAAATTCTCGACTTTAAAAATCACTACTCGCCCACCCCTATAATTAAATGATTGTTAAAAGTACCTAAAATTTTCTTTTTGATTTGTAGTTGTTAGATCTCATTTACCTTTGATATGGTATCGTAGTTGTTAATGTGTTTGGAAGGGATTAAACTAAAATTGCCTGGTTAGAATATTTCATTGCTGTATTAAGTTTTTCTTTAGCCATACTTAAAAAACACCCCATTTTCTCAAAAATACTTCATGGAAGGACATGAAATCAGGGGTTTGTTTAGTATAACCAATTCTCTCATAACATTTGGTAGAACTTTAAAAAAATTGTAGCCTATTGTATGGAGAGAATGGATTTTTCAGGTATCCATATCGGTATCGAGAATCGATCAATTTCTGTACCGACACATCACTAGTCCTAACCAATTCATTTAATTGGACTAGGCTACATAAATTAAATTAATCTGGCAAACAACATAGTTCAACTATCAAATTTTGGTCTTTGGAGGTGTCCACAATTTAACCCAAAATTTGAATTGTAGCCCAAACATTGATTGTTCCAACTCATCCAAAACTTCAGCCACCATTTTTACCGATACAGTTATCTCCCAAAACATGATTTCACGATAAACTTTAACCCTGGTAGCTTTTAGTTCAGTAACTTGGACTCACCGGACTTACTGGAGGACTTGATTCTTTTGCTAGGTTCCAACAGTGAATTCTCCTCTGCCTCTCGCTTCTCCCTGTAGTTGGCCACAGCCCGTGTCAGAGGACCAACTGTCCGCAGTCGTGGAGGAGGTGGAGTGGGAGGTGTCTTAGTTTTGGGAGTTGGTTTAGGTTTGGGCACTACCTTAGGAGGCGGAGTCCATTCAATTCGAGGATTCTCCATTGAAGATTCGCCCCATATTGGCTCAAAGTGTTTTAGCTGAAACGCAAAATTATTTTTACTGAAGTAACAAACAGTGCAGGGGACGAATGTGTGCTTTTAGCATAATAATACAATAAAAGATAAATAGTGTGAAAGCACAGCACAGTGGTAGCATCTTAAGTATCTTTAAGACCGGCCACCTTGTCCAATCACTAACAGTCACCATCGGTTTGTCCATCCATACCCTACTGATAGATACTGTAATGGAATGTCAATAGTTTAAGGTGTTAGGAAGCAGCTAAATTTGTATAACAAGAAATTACCTTCCAAGGGTCCAGTTTACTCTTCTCTCTTTCAGCTTCGGTTTTGAGCTTCTGTTGGTGTTCTGGTGTGAATTCCCCTTCAGCCAGCCGCTCTCTCCATTCCAAGCAAGCTCGAGCAAAAAATTCATTGTTTAACCCTGATGCACTTAACCTAAGGAGAGAGAAAATCAGAAGATCAGTCATACAGGCAATAGTTTTAATAGAAAGAAAGTTGACTCTATCACTTCAATAAAATGATCTTACAGAGTCCTTGGAGCCTCAACGTTCTAACTCATGAAACAATTAAAAAACTACAAAGCAAATTTCTAATATGACAGTATATACTAGATATTAAAATTACAATCACTTGGGTATTTGAAAAAATATTTTGAGTTGGTAAATAACTCTTTAGCGGCTGTTTGAAAATAACAAAATTAACATTGCTCTTATGGTAGGCAAATCCAAGATGGCCTTTGGCTTCCACGGACTCCCTTGAAAATACATTCAAAACAACAAACAACATTTCTAATCTCACCGTATATTAGGGATGGACGAGATTGGATTTTTAGTTCGAGACGAGACGAGACGAGATTTTTTATTTCTCATAAAATTTCGAGACGAGATCGAGACGAGATTTCTCTTCTCATACACAACGGGAAATGCACGTTCAAAATTTTTACCTGATTTTGTAACATTGTTAGATGACTGTTTAAATACTAAAATAATGATAATAGGCAAGAATATTTACAATCTTTCATTAAATAACATCAGCATAACATTTTTTTATTAATCACGCCTAACTTATTAAAAATGCCTACGATTAGGAAACATGGTGATATCAGTTAGGATAGAGTTCAACTTATCCTAAAATAAAATAAATCATAAAATAAAAGCAATATTAATTTTTATAAAATAGTTACTTGTTTTGACTTTTTTTATAGTAATAAAACATTCCTCACACTGCTTACACTTAACAAAACTTCTCAAATGTTATTAAAGTAATATTATTAAAATAATGAAAGTAATATTTACATTAAAAGAATTAAAGTAATATTTACATTAAAAGAATTAATTAAATAAGAACGCCTTCGAAAAGGAAACGCAACTACAACACGCTCCTGTATTGCGGGTATTGCATTGACTTTCTGCAGGCGTTTTTAATTTTTTTTTTTTTTTTTTTTTTTTTTTTAATTCTCGTCTCGATAAAAATCTCGGCCAAAAAGTAATCTCGTCTCGTGTAACGAGATTGAAAATTTCCCGAAAATTTCCCGAAATTTCGAGACTTGACCATCCCTACCGTATATTAGATAATATTTACATTATAATCACTTTTATGTATGAAAAACTATTTTTGGATGATAATTAACTCTTCAGCAGCTGTTTGAAATCATCCAAGATGGCCGCCAGCCTCCAAGGACTCTTAAATTACCCCTGCCACCAAAAGCCTACAGACTAAGCAAATTTCCATTTGCCTGATCTAATTTCACTAAAATATTTGATTAAAAATGTCATATTTATTCCCTATTTAAATAACTTTAGGTTTAACACATTGGCCTAAACAACCACAACAAAAAAAGCATTCATTATTCATATAATGGATAAGTCGACACTTATATCAAAAAATATTACTATCTTCTTTTAAACATTCGGAACTGTAAACACTTAATGCTTCCTCCTTCAATTCTTCTTCTTTTAAGTTGTTTAAGCCTAACAATTAATTAATTAAACCATAGTGCCACTTATAACCGTTAAACCGTTATTAACCATTGAAGTTTTGTGTAGAACCTTCTGTTCATAGGACCGTTTTTGAGGGTATGTGTCATGTTCTGTGTATTATTATCTGTTTTATGTCGTATATTTAGGGGTCCTGCAGTCACTGAGTTAGCCTATTAAAATTAGTCAAAATCAGGGTTTGCTTTATAAATTCATAAAACATTTTTTTGAAGTTATGTTTATTTACTCTAAATGAAATTTCCTTCAATATTAATTATTATATTTAAAAATATAATAAAAAGAAATATGTTTTTGCCAATATAAAAAAGTTTGTAATTTTTGAAAGCATGACAATTTGATTTCCCTAAAAAGCCGATATATACAGGGTGTCCATAAAAAACGTTTCAGGACTTTGGGAAATGAATCCCCTTACTAAAGGTGCGTTTTCCTCCAACTTCAGTAACCGTGCTGCGTGCTACACGATTTATCTAAAGAACGCAGCGTGGCCAGGAACAGCGTGATTAAAATTTTACACTGCGCAAAAGTGTTTTCCTAGAAATCCGGCAATGAGTTGCGTAACAAGCAGATTCGCGGTTTCCACAGTAGCGTTCTGCTATGGATCGGAGAAAGAAGTCTCATACATAAATAAATGATAAATAAATGTGGTGACTCATACATTGGGGTATGTGAAGTTGGCCTATCCAAAAAAAAACCTACCCACAATTATTAATTCCATTTGTTAGTTTCGTGTTAGTTCTTCATAGTTCCGTTAAAATTTGCATTTGTTAGTTAGTTCGTTCGTTAGACGGAATTATTGGGAACTAACTTGTAACTAACTATTGACACTGTTTGAAACCCAATTTAGGGCATGGATATGCTAGCGTAAAGTTAGCCCGCCCCAAGGCCACACACGTGGATTGTGCCGGTTACATAGTGTAACATGTTAACTAAAAAAAATTAAATTAAAATAAAAAAATATTAAATTAGGGCCTACGTTAAATTGAAATTTTTTGATATGATGTTTAGTTTAAGTATTTAATGTATTAAATTAAAGAAACGTCCTAGGTACAACACTTTAAAAATATATTTACACTTATACTGTTTTCAAGACTTTAAATATACATGAAATTGGTAAAAGTTTATCGATTTCGAATGGTCACACCAAATGATCACACGGTCAATTAATAAACTGTCATCATCAACAGTGAACTTGGTAACATCACTACACCTTATCGTTTTCTCCATATTTTCAATGTAAACAATGGCCCCAGTTCGGCAGCGTGGTTCGCAACTGACTGCTCTCGAGGCAGTGGTCCCAATCACGCTGCGCACTGCGCAGTTGGCAGTTAGTCGCGCACCGCGCCTAGGAAAACAGTCTCATTCGTTTAAAAGGGATCAGTGGTTCCGGCAACCGCGGAGCACGAAGCACGCAGCATAACAGGCTTAATCGCGTCGCTAGGAAAACGCCGCTTAAAAGGAAGAAAAAAGTTTATGGGAAGGTATGTCTGAAAATGCATATTTACCCAGATATCCGCCATTTAGTTTTTTATACGAAAATATTTTTATCTGTGAAGTTTTTTATTCGATGATTATGAAATTTGGTAATCATGTTTACATACACAAGACCTATAATAGAAAAAATAATAAAGTTGTTCCGATTGTAAATTTCAAAATGGCGGCCGTTTAAATTTTTCTGACTTAAATAACTCAAAAACGGCTAACTCTATGAAAAAATGTCTAGAAACTTTTTTTAGCATTTTTAGTTTCCTATCATACGATACCAAGAACAAAAAGATCGGACTAAAGATAACTGAAATATAACGTTTTTTGTGTAAAAATAAGGCAAAGTTAGTCGGGGAACCCTTAATTTTTGCCTTATTTTTACACAAAAAACGTTATATTTCAGTTATCTTTTGTCCGATCTTTTTGTTCTTGGTATCATTTGATAGGAAATTAAAAATGCTAAAAGAAAGTATCCTAGACATCTTTTCATAGAATTAGCCGTTTTTGAGTTATTTAAGTTAGAAAAATTCAAACGGCCGCCATTTTGAAATTTACAATCGGAACAACTTTATTATTTTTTCTTTATTTTAGAACTTTTTATTTTAATATTTAGAATACAATTCAACCAATTAAACAAATAAAAATAGCTGATCATTGTTAATCATATTAAGAACATTTGGGTGGTACACGAAGCCAAAGTAATCAATAGCGCAATGTATTCATCACAGAATTGTTCCGTGATACGAAATTTTAGCCCATTAAAGCCATCACGGAACTGTTCCGTGATACAAAGCCAGTGGGTTAATGAAAATGAGTTAGCTTTGCTGTTACAAGAAAGGTAGTAAAATGTTTAAATTGAAATGTTTATAGGGGCTAGCTTAGTATGAAATATCCATTTTTATTTGGTCAGATATTATTATTAGGTACATCAAATTTAATTTTACCATGTGATGTAAATAAAAACAATAACAAAAATATAGTTACAGTTTTATTCTTAACTAGGTGAAACCCGTGGAAATCGACGGTTACTTTCAAGGCTTATTCACGCTATTTACGCTAATTCATCTAACTGCGATAAATTGAGTGAAATTATACATACAGTCCAACCTCAGTATAACGAATCTGATGGGACCGAACTGAATATTCGTTATATCAAGGGTTTCGTTAAAATGAGGTTCGTTATATAGAGGTTAGGTTTGCAGGAATTTCGCTAAGTCGAAGTTCAGAACCAGCGTCGGTCAATATAGGCCAGGATTTGACCTCATTAAAACACAATTAAAATAGCATAGGCTACAATACTTTACAGTACAGTGTTCATTGTACAGTAGAACCTTCTGTATCCAATAGTCAATGGTAGAACCTAAATTATCTGGCATAATAAAGGGGAGGAATCTTGAATATTGCGCAATCATGACAGTGGCATTGACCTTGGTATAGGTTAAAAACTTTAAGTTTAAAATCACTGCTTGTTCTAACCCTCCTAAAACCTAGCCAAACACTACATTGCGTAGTCATAAACCATGTAAAAAACAAAACAAAACCGTAGAAAGTTTTGTAAGCGACTGACTGCTCCGTGATAGGCCGGTAGGCTACTTACAGTACAGTACTGATTTATCACAACAGAGGAATGTCAATATTAATCATTAACTATAGCATTGGTGTTGCTAGTTGAAACAAATCGTGTTGAAAACAATAAATTATTAGATAAGTCATTATAAAAGTGCATATTCATAGCCAACTTAAAGATAATAAAAACACTCGTAAATTAAGGAATGTTAAAATAACGATGTTGCTATTCTTTCTCTTTGCTTTTGTTTTTATATTCTTTTTTAGATTTAGCTTTATCCAAAAATTGTACAATTCACCATATTTACTTATCACCCAATCACAGCTTACTACAGATTACGTCGTCATCAGTCCTCATTGAATGAAATCAGTTCTCAGTTGCAACATTGCGTGCGCAGCGACAGTAGACAGAGAGATGTGTAAAACGGAGCAGACGAATGTTAGCGCAAGCGATGACGTCACCTTTCCATTTCATTTAATAAAGAAACAGATTTTCCAAAAACAATACTGGGGTGGGGGATTTGTTATATCAAGGGAAAGACGTAGACAATTCGTTATGCAGAGGTTAAATTCGCAATGTAGAGGTTCTGACAATGATAAATTCGTTATATTGAGGTGTCTTATTTTAGCTGAAATCACAAAAAATTTGTTAAATCAAGGTCGTTGTTATGGTTTGTTCGTTATGTAGAGGTAAAATATATATAGTCTCTTATGGAGAGTTCTAGGGGATTAAAAAACATTCGTTATATCAAGGAATTCACTATATTGAGGTTCGTTATATCAAGGTTAGACTGTATTTTGAGCATTTAGCATTGTTTTTTGTTTAAAGCGTAATAAGTGTAAAAACAAAAAGCGTTAGTTACAAAAAATGGTCGATCCTTCAACGAATAAAATATTTCCCATACCGTACGTTATCGGAGTTATTATTAGTATGTGATCTGGTATCTCTTCCTTTGGAAGAACCTTTAGTATTAAAATCGTATTGGTGGATCTTTTGTAGTTAAACACTTCAGTGATTTCATCAGTGTAATGCAGATTAATCTATGATTTTATTTGAAAAAAATATCTGTTTGTTGGGAAGATACGTTCTAACTTCAAGAAGGTATATCCGCTGCAGTGTAAGTTTGATTTTTCCTTCGTCACGTTGGGTCAGTTCATATCGTATTCTGTACCAATGAACAACCCTCTATCATAGTTTTGATAAATTGGTTGTGGGGTTACTGTTAAAGCTAGAATTCATTGACATGGGGGATGTCAGTTAGTTGTCTCAGCCTTATCAATTACCTACATAAAGTTGTCAATATAATATCTCTCTACGGAATGTTAGGTGAAGTGGAATATACGTGAAGTGAAGTTGGCTTTTATTCTTGAACTGGGGCCTCCTCGTTTATATGGTCTTGCGGCTTCATTGGCAGCAAATAATGTAAATAACATAGCAATGTGGCATTTCCAAAAACCGAAAACTACTGTAAATTTGCTGTTACGTAAATGTTGACGTTTACATGCATTTTTAATCAACGTATCTTATATAGGATGATGTAATCTAGTTTCAAAGGAATACGACCTTTCTGTCACGACAGTAGCTGCTTAAATATTATTTACTCATTGTGCTATTTTTTACAGCCAAAATGTCGTGTTATTTTCAATAATGTTACCAACCCAGTGGGCCACGGTCCGTAATATAGGCCACTGCAAATAATTTGCCAAGATAGGTACCATTTTAGGCAAGGTTTCTGTGTTTGGATGTTATTAGACATGGTAAGAGCACAATAAACTTCTTCTGTAGATGAATTATCTGTTGGAGAAGTATGATCCGAATTATAAAATGTCACAATGCGAGTTTGAGCATTTTGTAGCTATATAGGAAAGTTACAGAGATTTCTTTTAGGCTGCTGCTCAGTGCACTTTAAGAATATATTTTTTAGAGATAAATTAATGGTTTTTGTTGCTGAGTAGCGCTAGTAAACATGCACAACCTTTTTTGTTAGTCTTATAACATTCAAGGGCTCTCTAAGAGTTCAAGTTCTTATTTGTATAGGTACATATCTATATTATGTTTTCACTAAGATTAATGAATACATCGAAGTAACCTCTTTGAAAAGTCTGCAGTATATTGCAGTTTTCCAGCTTAATGACTTTCAAAATCATGCACATATATTTTATTTTCATAAACAAATATTTTAAAATGTTTGTAACATGTATGACAATAATCTCATGAACCTATGACGATCTGTCTAGAATAATATGATAAAATATTGGCAAAAATGGTGAAAAAAAACAGACACCAACCCGTAAAATAGATATAAGATCTAGTTCAATAAGAAATAATTGTAAGAGTTACTGTGATAAAAGGATTTTCCACTGGTATCATAATGGAACGTTATAATGCAAAACATGACATGATACAGACAAAAATAAATTTTAGAATCAGAAAATAACATTGCAAATACTTCTTTTGGACAATTCAGTAACTCCCAATAAATGAGTCTTGTTTAGATTACAATTTAAAAATTAACAGCTGTTTCATTAAAAAGTATTATTCACATGGCCAAAATGTAAACAAATCTGTGGAGGGATCTTTAAGGGCTTCTGGAGCAGAGCCCTAAGGGAATTTACTTTGTTTTTCTTTTGATAAATGATCTAAAGACCAAGACCTTTCTTTGGACACCTCTACCAAGTTTCTACGCCCAGCCGTTCTCTCAAATTAGTGGAGACAAAGTTTCCAATTAAATATGTAGATTCCCCCATGTTAATCTTATGGGAGAAAACCCAACTTTGATGGAAGATCCTGCCCAAACTAATACAGATTTCAAAAAACTAAAAACACTTTGCAAAACTACAGATCAGGGCCATTTTTTTACACTTTAATCATCAAAATCGGTCCAAAAATGAGGGAGGAGTACTGTTTACAAAAATCGGCTTAGCATATTTCATATATATATAGATTTGTGTGTACGGTCTATTTGAAGGCACTGAATTCTCTGATGTGATCTACAGGGATGTCTGTCGCACATCTGCGTCGCTTGGTCTGTGAATATGATGATTGGAGACGTCATATGATTGTTGGAAAAACTGTTCTTTACTTTGCTAACAAACTGTATGTATGTATGCAGTATGTATGCCACATTATCTTATGTAGCTTTTACATTTGTTCAGTTATAAACTGTTCTTGAATAATCTGTTTTTTTTTTTACTTACTTTCACCTCAAAACATAAACAAAAAAAAACTGTCTCATATATGTGGCATTTGGGCCATTTTAAGAAAAATATAATAATTTTCACTATTGTCTTCGCTATACACTAGGCGTCCCAAATATTCAACATTATAAAAGGTTAAGGCCTATCAAAAATATAAAAAACATTAAAAACAAAAATAAATATTATTTACAAACAAGATTGCAGCGTATTAAAAAGTAAATGTAAATGATCTCTGTTTAACAGGTTTTCACCCGTGGTCTACGTGTACTGTTGTGGTGTGTGTACTGTTTTTAACGTATGTGTTAAAAAAGTGACAGCTGGTCTTTGTGTAAGATTAAATTGTATACATAAATTGTATACGTAGCAATGATCGTGGCGTCGCATATATGCGTCGCTCGGTAGCGAACGTGTCAGGTTTTTCGACTCCCAAAACTTAAGCAGACGTCAGAATACGCAAACTCATAGGACTCTTATTTGGGACCCCCAAAAGGTATTAAAACACCTTCCAGCTTTATACAATTTTTTGGGAAGCAAACTCTTTTTTGATCTAGGCCTATTTATTTTTTCTGTTATTCACTGTTCCTTTTCGGTTATGTTTGACACACTAGAAATCACTCTGCTACTTAAGACTAAAAATTAGTATATTTAACTAATTTAACTGAGAGCTAACAACCACTTGTCTTAGAGGTCAGTTATTTTCCATAAAAATAAGTAATAGCAAAAAATCTTTGTCACAAGCCATTTTGACACTCATATTATTTTGTTTGTATCATATTTTTATCTGCTGTCATTGGTAAATGTAAATTCGAACAACGGGTTTCAATGACTAGAGCAAAAATTCTGTGCGATAGCACTTAAACTTAAGCAAGATCATAAAAGTGTACAATCTTATTTTTGTTTAGATGCATACTCTTACTTTACTTTTATATTACAGAGTTGTTATTATTTCAACAATAAAATGTCTATGGTTTGTAATAAAAATGTTTTTTGTAAATTATAAAATGTATGTTTACAATATTGTTTTAACCATTAAACTCAATTAACCACAACCGAGCAAGCTAACTACTGCAACAGTTTACTTACTATCCATAGGGAATTATAATTGGTCCGACCCTATTTTTAAGGCTTATTCATAAAATTTATGGTTTTAAGGTTTACACGGTTAAGTGTGTCCAACCCTAAATAAAAAATCGTATTACAAAAAAGTATCCCAAATGCTCGTAACTACTAATTTTACACCACAATCTAACCTGAAAGAATCACCAGCAGGAGTGGTCCTATCTACATGAGGCAAGAGCTGCACTAGCTTGTACTGGTACAGAGCTGGCAGCTGGTTGAACGTGTGTTTGTTGAGGAGCGACCGAAGGTTGGTGTTTACCTGCAAATACGAAATGTTCAATACTTTTATATTATTCTCCTAAAAAACTCTCAAGAAATAAATCTTATTGCTATTCGAAAGACTCATTTTTAGGATGCTGGCTTAAATTGCCAAGCTGTCTTTTACACTATGGCTTGGATCAATTTCACATCAGACTCACTGCCGTTGGGATGGCCAACGTAAAAACAATTAAACACTTGGAAGACCAGCAGCACGGACCATAAAAACATCTGCTTAGTTGTGACGTCTAGTGAGCAGCTTGGAAACTAAAATAGTTTTAAGCTGAAATGACCATAATAGCTACCAAGCAGACATGTAAAGAAAAACTGCCAGTGATGTTCACGTAAACCATGTACTAACTGGTCAACTAAGAACATATTTTTTGGTTGGAGTTGGAGACAAAGATGTTTTATTTCTAACAGCGATTGGGTAAACCAAAACATTGGGAGGTCTGGACTAAGCAAAGTCTGCACAAAGCTCCATATTAATGAAAGTTTCAAACTGACCAGTATGGAGTCAGGCGTCTCCAGATCTATGCAGCCTTCCTTAGTCTGCTCCAGCTGCGCTGCAGCAGATAACTTCTTGTTGCTGCGTTTCCGCTGTTTGATGCTGAACCCTGGTATAGAGGACAGCACTTCCATCATGGTGGGTGGTCTGTAGTTTGTGCGGCTCGTAGTTTCCTCCACTGAAACAAAAAGCGTTTACCTTCAACACTTTACACTTAATATATAGGCCAAAATAATTAATTGAAATATCTACATTTCAAACTGCTTTTAGAATCCAACAGTAAGGTTTTAGACTTGACACTTTAAAACCTAAGCCCAAGTATAGATCGGGGTTTTAATTCATTGAACCTCATCTGCGAGGGCTAGTGTGCTTACAGCAGCACTTGTTGTGTTCGGTCAACGGTTGCATATTAGCTCAATTGGCTGAGGTTGGCACTGACAAGTGCAGCACTCAGGTCTCAGGTCTTTCTTCATGTGCGGGTTCGAATCCCATACATATGAAATTCATATTAAGCTTAATAATGTGTGGCTTAGATGATGAGGGGGTTCCACCTTGTATAAACAGTGTCCGGCTTGGGTGAAAGTTATTGAGTTAAATAGGTATTCCACACAACTGTTTTGCTTCTTTTTAGAGAATTAAAAAAATAAGCTTTTCTTTCTGGAGAGGTAAAAAAATAAGCTTAACCCTTCAAGAATCTGTAGTAAAGGTCTTAACGTTTGCCCATTTACTGCGCAATCGCAGGGTTTTATTAAAACGTACCTGAGAAATTGAAAAATACTCTAAACTATACTGTGTTATATGTTTTTTTTTTCGTGGGCTTCAATATATAAAACATTACAAAAAGAATTGTCAACAATTTTTGTGGGGTTAACATTTCTCACAAATTATAAAAAACTGAAAAAATGTTAGGTTTGTGCTCAATACATTTTTAAAACTTTTAGGCCTAAATATTTTTAAATAGCCACTTTGTCCTCAATTCTATGAGTATTCCAAAAATATAATCATATAGGGAGGTAAATTTTCAAATAAATAAGTTATGGGTGAATAACACGTTTTGCACATTTAGCGATAAGAATGAATAGCCTAACAATAGCTAGGAATCTGAAAGATAATTTACATCAATATCCACTGTGTACCTACTTCTCCAGGATCATCAAAATCACTTAAATCTTCTTATAATGCACCACGCATATCACTACTGTTTATTTTAATCACTAAAAACAACAATAAAAGTAATAGAACACATCAAATCAAATCAAATCAAATCAAGTATATTTGGGCTTAAATCAGTCATCGATGTAAGATTAGCCAAGTTGTTTACAGATATGCACGTCATCTGTCTGCTACAATATGATCGGAACGAAAATGAAAAGCGTCTAGAAACAGACATCGGGAGAAGGCTTAGAATCTGCCAAAAACAATCTCAATCCAGCACAATCTGATTCAGTCAGTCTCAGAGACTTCGCCATAAACAATGTTTGTGAGTCGACGCATAAGACAGCAGCGGGTGTGTTATGCGTCGTTATTGCGACAATTAACACCAGGAGGGTAACAGCATAATGAGTTATAACCGATTATGGAATGTGAATTTGAAGGTATTTAGTATTAACCCTTAACACGCTACAGATATGTTGGGTGGCCTTGTTTTGTCTATGTATTTACCTTGATTTAACCATATGGTTACCACCAAGGGGGTTGTCTTCAACTGACATTTTTAAAAATTCATGATTGAATTTCTTTTTTTTATCGTTGACCGCGATGCAATTATATCCCTTCGGTATATGAGCTTAAGCATATCAACAAATCAAAATTTGAACCAGCAAGCACCACAACTTTTACTCGCGACGCGGAGCAGAAGTATACCCACAAGTCTACAACTAACTTCCACTTTGACCCCACTGACGAATCACCGGCCTAGGATTTTTCGTGATTGGACGACTGCAGTCAGCTGACCAACGGTTTTGCAGGAGGATTTGAACTTAAAATTAAAATTGGCTCAAATTTGGTCCAATTTTGTTGTTTATCAGTGGCATTTAGAACGACATTTATAATTTAATTTTTTTAGGGAATGGTACAAACCTTGGATAAGGTTTTTATAACTAAGTTGTAATTTAAAACATTCTGAACCTTGCAGTTCACAAAAATGTTAAATATAGATTGAAAAAGTGTTAATGGAGACTAGCTATGGCAAGATTGATGACTAACATACATTGTGTCCATAATTCAAATGACACCTGAGACAGGGATATTGATGTAAAACCTCTTTAAGTTGATCGCTACCGCAATATACTAATTATTTCATTCATATGGACCAGCGACGCACGCACATATGCAACAGCAGGTTTCTACCCATAGACTGGTCACATTAAAATAGAGTGATGCCGCATATTTTTGTCCGTATCCCAATGAAAGTGTAACAAAACTCTGAAATTAAACTGATTTCTTGTAAAATTAATTAAACCAGTTTTAAAAGTTACATTTTGTTTTTTATATTTCTAAAAACACAATTATATTATTCAGACATATGTAAATTGAAAACTAATAACATATGGTTTTCCCAAAGTGTTGTTCACAAATAATTCAAAGGAGACTAAGTTAAACATTTCCAACAGAAAGCTTATATCTTTGTGTTTGTAACAATCTATTTGAAGGTCCTGAATTCTCTGCAGTGGTCTACAGGGATGTCTTGTCGCATATGTGTGTCACTTGGTCTGTGGATATGATGATTAAGTTTAGTGACGTCATATGACAGTTGGCAACACTGTTTATTACTTTGCTGCATCACTGGCCCACGTCTGCGTGTACTGTTGACCAAGTGACACCCGGTCTATGTGTGTAATCTCAAAATGTATACCTGGGGCCTTGGCAATGACTGCAGCGTCTCATATATGTGGCGATCGGTAGCGAAAGTGTTAAAACAGCGGGTCGCAAAGGTTTGGAAGGTTATGGAGTCACAAATGTATGCATATGAGGGCCGAGATTTGTGCGTGGTAGTATGTTTTCTTCAAAGAGTTTAAAAGATTGTAAAAATATTATAAATACAAATTTTATCCCAACTGTACTCACACTCGCTCTGTGGTGGCATGATGATCCTGGGCAGAGGTGTAGAGTTGCCGGCCGCAATTGTGGTGTTCTTGCGTCGCCTCTTGGCCTGTTGCCTGAGAGCATGTTTGATCACCTTCTTGGAGTGAGATTGAGAGATTCGTAGTTCCTTGAACGTCGATGTTGACGAAGGTGGTGGGTTGTCTTCTTGACGTGTGATACTCCACACCCCCTCCCCTCCTACTGGGGGTTCCCCTTCTCCCTCCCCTCCTGACTCTACCTGCCCATACGAGCCTGTAAAACAAGTTACAGGATTGTTTGTAGCTGTTTAAATCAAAAGAAGGCCTGACTAGAAAACAAATGACAACAACATTGATTTTCACCAGAAGGTCCGGGGTCTATCTTGAGATATGAGTCCACATATCCATAATTTTATCATTAAAAAATAAGATAGGTCACACAGACGAGGAGAATTTTCTTTATATCTGGAGAACTCTCTATGCCAAAATTCATATAAGATAGCCTAATTTTAATTCAAGCTATCCATCTTGTTTACAGGATTGAGACAGCACTGAAATTATAATATAGCAAACAAAAAAAGGAGAAATCATAAATGCATCACCTGGACGTTTAACTTAAGTAGGCTATTAACTTATATCAAAGTTGCAATTTGAATTGTTCCTAAACGAGTAACACAGAATGTGTTCTGGAACGGTTAAAGGAAACACAATATGTAATATTGAGTACAAAACTAATTATTAGGCAACTGTAATTTCATCCTGCAGTTGTCGGCCACAGTATTTGAATAGATGTTGTCACAATACAAAAATGACATTGAACAATCACAAATTTCGTAGGGTGTCACTCTACCAACTGTCATCCGGACTCATTAAAAAAATGTAGGCTAATATTCATAATGAATGTATAAGTTTGAATGTGTTATTTTGTTAATATTGACATTTATAGGCCTAATGATAAAGAAAAGAAAAAAATGTGGTGATGAGTTAACATCTAAGATAGGTGCCTAACTAAAAATTTCCAAAATATTGTTTTTACCTTTGACTTTATGCAGCTTCACTGGAGATAAGGCCTGAGCAGATTTGGAAACTTTGTTGTTGCAGACCGGAACCTTGTTGTCATCCATCACATGGTTTTGTCAATCAAACTTGTAACCGTGAAACCCATTTCTGAAATAAGAAGGAGGTATTACAATCTTCAACTGGTTGTACTTTCTAGATGGATAATAGAGGATGTTTTAACAAACATCTAAGGAAAGATAAAGGAAAGAACACAACTGCAAATGATCTGTGTTATTTTACAATCCCATAGCTCTAATAGTGCTTTGAATGAATAATTTGTTTGAATCAGCATTAATAGCCTACATATTGCTGGGCTCTTTTGACTTCTACAAATACGGTAAGTGCATTCCATTTTGTTCCATGCAAAACCCAACTCTGTTTGTAGGCACATAGTACTTATCCACTTTAGATGCTATTTCTATTTTACTACACAGCAGGTGCATTCTCCTCTCGTACAGGACCAGTAAGTTCCTTATAATTTGTTTTCTCTGATTAAACGTGACCAGTTTTACGCACACGCTCATTGATTTCATGATGAACATTTTTTTTATTTATAAGTAGCATTTAAAAAAATTATTCATTCAAAGCACTATTAGAGCTATGGAAATTGTAAAATAACTAAGAATATTTGAAATTTTGTTCTTTCCTTTATTAATCTTCCAAGTTTAACAATCTGGGTAGTATTTTATTTTTTTAGACATAATTAGTTTTAATCATGACCTAGACGTGCACATTTACAACAGCAAACCCTTTGAATACCATTTAATAAAACACTAAAATACACTAATTCTGCTACAGCTCTTTAACCAATAAAGAGACAAAAAAATATTAAATACAAAACTAGCTAACTTTAACCTTCCATCGGGCGCATCACGGAAGATACCTCCGGGTCACTAATTTTTTCGTTATACAAACCATAACCGGTGTTCGCCAGGGCTGTGGCCTGATTTACCTCACGAACCTCTTTTGCGGGATTGGTTTTGTATACTCTTACCCCTTTCCCAGTTGTCAGTCGACCTTGGGGGGTGGTTTGCGTCACTACTGGAAGTAGCTTCCGTGAGCACCCAGTGATGCAACGGGTTTCCCGGAGCCTAGTTCCGTGTGCGCCCTTATATTTGACCTTATTTAGCGATGTTATAAAATGGATGAAGAAGAACTAATTGCAGGATTGTTGGCTAGTGTTGAAAGGGAAGACAATGAACAACATTTAGTAAAGAACTAATGGTACGTGAGAGCGGAAACCTTTTTTTTTTCAAGAAAAAGAGCTTTGACAAAATGTGTAGTCCTTCTAACAAATGATTTTTTTGTATTAGACAATAGGTATTTTATTTCAAACACCATTGCAATTTTTTAAAGAGCTTAGACAATGTAAGCTGTCCTTATGAAATAATTATCTTTTTTCATAATACCACATAGGTGTTTTTATGTCATACACTGATGCAATTTTTGTCCAAGAGCTTTGATTGAATGAGTTGTCCTTGTACAAAATTATTATTCTTATTAGACCATGTATGCTACATGTTTATATGTCATACAATATTAAAATTTGTTTTTAAATATACGATAGGCCTAGTAAGTTACTGTATAGGTACAAAAAGTAAATATTTTTTATACACAACACTTACGTATTTTTATTATAACATTTTCTATTTGATATACAGCTTAAGTAATAGTGTAATAACTCATAAAAAATGTTTTTCTTACAGTTTTATTGCTATTAAAATGTTTTTTACTAATCATTGTACCTATAGTTTTTGTACTCCCGGAGGTAACTTCCTTGAGCGCCCTTTGGTGTTTGAAGATCAATGACGGAAGGTTAAGGGCTACAATGTGGTTTTTAATGAAACCAATGTTGCCATTTGAAATTTTTGAGATACCGGTAACCGCTTTTGAAACTTCAAAAAGTTTGAAAATGTGTAACATTAGTAAAAAGTTAGGAAAAGGGTTGAAACTACAGTTTTTTAAAGCTCATTTAGCAATTAAAGTGTTAATCAAAATTTGAACCCCCTACGAAATTCCACCTCTTTGCAGTGAAAAGTATTTAAAAGGTCTATTTTTTGTACATTTTTGAACAACCTGTAAATAGGGATAAAAATAATTTAAAACTTTTCCCACTAAAATACTCAGGACTCAAAGACGAAGAAATTTTCCAATTAGCCCAAAAATCTGACCTTTGGGGTGCTTTTAGGGTAAAAAAATAAATTAGGCCTAGCTGAATTCCTTGGGGTCAAAATAAGGGGTTCCAGTTGCAATTAGGTTTCTATTTGCTTTCATATTGGAGCTATAGAAGCCGGTGGGTGGTATGGGACACCCTGTATACTAAAACACTTTTGCAAAACTTATGACAGCTAGCCTGGTCATACTACTGGACCGAATTACACACGGTTGGCACCAAATGAAAGATATTTTCCTATACCTAGATGTGCAGAATCCCTTTATAAATTAAAATAGGCTCAAAAATAAGCACGAAAAATTAATTTGAAATTTAAAAAAAATTAAAATAGGCCTTATGGGTTGCTAAACTGGTGATGAAATAACAACAATAACAAAATATAAACAGAAAATCCAAACAAATTCCAATCACATGTTTTATTTAGTGTGGGGTGAAAATAGATAAGTATACGTACAGTATTACATATTTTGGTTGGGTTTTCGACCACTGGACGATTTCTATTTTACTATATTAACTATTTTACAGAGTCGTTCAAAGAAGGAATCGTCTGTGGCAGTTAGATTAATGTACAGTATCTGCAAGCTAAAATTATATGAGAAGGGAGAGAAAAAGGTCCATGACATAAGAAGTGGTGAAGAAAGTAGTAAAGGCTAGCCGTGTGGAGGGTGGGAACCGTTTTTGGCAGTTGGATTAATGTCTGCTATGCAGATAGGTACGGGTACATTAATCCAACTGCCAAAAACGGTTTTCCACACTCCGCACTGCATGCCTTTACTACTTCCTTTGCCTTAAATGCTTAAATTCTTTTACTTAAATGCTATGGGAAGGAAGGGAAAGGTCCATGACGTTGGAAGTGGTGAAGGAAGTATTAAAGGCGAACAGTGTGGAGTGTGGGAACTGTTAATGACGATTAGATTAAGGTATCTGCAATCCTTAAATGCTATAGGAAGGGAAGGAAACAAGTCCGCGGCGTAGGAAGTGATGGTGGACGCGAAAGAGTTTGGGTGGGTTCATTTTTTAAGGAAAAACGTGGTCTCAGTTAATATATCCTATAGGCTATATTTTTGTACAGTAGGTATTGCACTTAACTTTATAAATTATTCTTAAAGTAAATAAACCAATGAATTAGAAAATGTGTATAAGATGCAGAATATGACATAAGTTATTTGATGTCTAGAGGCCTACATAGGAGTCAAAATATTATTTTTAGTCTTCGTTAACACGTTTACTCCTGCAATAGTACAACATTTTTCATTCACATGGTCCAGCGACGCACATATGCGACGGCCGGTTTCCACTCATAGACTGCTGTCGCATAGTCGCATTTAAATAGACTGCCGTCGCATATTTGCGTCGGGGTTCTAATGTTATTAAAATGCTTATATCTTTGTAACGATCTATTTGAAGGCACTGAATTCCCTGCAGTGATCAGAGATGTCTGACGCACAACTGCGTCGCTTGGTCTGTGGATATGATGATTGGTGATGTCATAAGTTAATGATAGTTTAAAAAAAATTGGTCTTTACTTTTCTGCATCCCTGTATGTATGTAGCCTATGCTGCATTATCCTATGTAGCTTTTATATTTCTTCAGTTATAACCTGTTCTTGAATAATCTGTTTTGTTTACTTACTTCCACCTCAAAACACAAACAAAAATGAACTGTCGCATAGGCCTTTATATGCGACGTTTGGTCTATTTCAAGAAAACTATGATAATTTTCACTATTGTCTTCGCTGTAAACCGGGCGTCGCAAATATGCAACATTACAAAAAACTATAAAAAATATAAAAACATGAATAAATTATTTACAAACACGATTGTAGCATATTACGTTGCAAATGGTCACTGTTTTTACAGGTTTTCGCCCGTGGTCTGTGTGTAGGCTACTGTTAACCAAGTGACAGCCGGTCTATGCATAAGATTCAAATGTATACCTCGGTCTGTGGCAATGACCGCCGCGTCGCATATATGCTCAGTAGCGAACGTGTTAATAGTAGCGCCGGTCACAGTTCAAAGTAGCTCCATCTGACCGTTACTTAAAGTTAGTTATGTTAACTTAGGTTAGTTTAGAACAGTGAATTTCAATAACTTATAACTTCTTTTTGTAATTGTTCATGGATATACTGAACAATAAGATAACCTTGTTGTCTGCTGATATCTTTTAATCCGAATATCTATGTAGGTCTAAGTTATTGGATCAAAAAGTAAAATTTCGATGTATCGAAAAAATCACCAATAATAATGAATGTTCCCCTAACAGGAAAGTGCCCACTAAACAAAACCCAATAAATAGGACTAAGTTACTTTAGATCTTAGATCAAGTAAAAATTTACCATCATAGGGATACAGTTTCTTAACTGGGCTATGCTAAGTTAATATTGATTGAAACTAACTTATCGATTTGATTAGTAACTTAGCTTAAACCTTCATTCAATTTTTTCATTATCAGTAAGTTTGTTTAGGCTAAGTTAGTTAACTTAGGTTAGGTTAACATTTTCTTTTTATAATTAATATACTGTAGTTAAAAATATTGATTATTGGTCGATACCTAAGTTTATTTTCAATTCGATAACTTAATTAGGCTAGATTCAATCGATGTTAGGCCTAAGTTAGCATAGCCCAATTAAGAAACTGTAAGTTACCCGGAAACAATGAAAACAAAAGGTCTACAAATACCTGAATTGACTTAGTTTCCTGCCCCTTTTTTAAACTAGGTTGGGCCTCCTATCCATGTTTTAGGCTAGGTTATTACAGTATAGTTAACTGTCAACACCCCAAACCATTAAGTTATAATTTTAACATTCAAGATTTGTTAAAGATGTAATAATAGGCCTGTTATTTATATTCTGAAATTAATAACGCAATGGACTTTAAGGTTTGGTTTATCGGTAAAAAAATGTATAGGCTACGCCAAGATTTTAACTCTACAGTTATAAACATCGTATCGGCTAGGCTGCAATGTCAATACCCTCTGACCGTGAGTTTGAGTTAAGTAAGTACTTACATTATTTAATTGAAGCGAGTATAGACCACATTTGATGAATTGAAAAAGAGTGGACTTCTTTTCAAATATTCTCTTGAAGGGCAAATGTTCTCAAGTAACAGACACTATGCACAATAAGATCCGACAGAATTAAAACATCACCATTTTCTGATCAGTGATCGTGTTCATCTTTCATTTCATTTCATCCATCCACCAATCCAATTTTTAGGCTTAGGGAAAGACGAACAGCATCACCAACAGATATTTCCAATATTACATGTATTTGTGTAGCACACATATAAAACCCCAAAACAATTAAACTTTATACCATTTTGCATCAAATTGCTATATTTTAAGTAATTACGGAGAAAATTAAAGAAACCTAGATCTTTATCTTTTGGCAATAATTCAGTTCTGCTTTAACAAATGTCCGGAAATTAAGTCATAAGTCATTTATTTGCCAAATTAACCAATACAATTTGCATTAGCTAAGTCAATACAATTCAATACAATACACTGAATACAAATCAGCAACTTAAAATGTATAACCTTATACAATAAATAAAATTAAAGGGAAAAATCTTCAACCACCAGCCAGAAATTCACTGACGCTGCCCAAGTGGCAAGTAGCACACATCGTTGGCCCAACGTTGGTAAATGGTCGGCACGGTTGGGAAATGGTTGGCAGAAATTTTAACGATTTGCCAACGTTGGCCCAACGGAAACTAGTATTCGTTGGCCCTACAAAGGAAAGAATCGTTGGGCCTTCGTTGGGTATAAGTATAAAACATTCTAAAACGAATTTTAACGAATTGGTTTATTTAAAAGTACATAAATGCTATGGCAGCAGAATATAAGACAAATATTGTAAAAATTTGGATCTATAATAAATGTAGTCACATGATGTTGTGATACTAGATACAGTGGGGAATACCTGCTTAACATATAATAATTATTATAATTCCATTTTTTTTTCAACAATATTCTTTAACTTATTTAAGCAAATTTTTTATAGTTATAGCGGAAAGATTAATTAATTATATAACAATCAATTATAACAGTAGCCTACTAATTTGTAATTAAATAATATATATTCAAATACTAGTATCCTCTCCAACTACCATAAAAACAATTCAACTACTTGAGGCCTAAACAGATTAACAGAATCATATTATACTGTGGCATCAAAAATATTTTAAGTATTGTGACCATTTCACCTGTCGGCTACTCTTTCACCACTTGAAAACACTCATAATCAACAAGCATAGTTACTAGTTAGCTCTCTATGAGAACGTAGATGTCAACCACACATTGTAAAGTAAGCTTTTCAGACCTAATGTAGCAAGAAGCTAAATCCCTCTATTGACGCTAACTGGCCAGTACGACACGTACTCGTACTACGGCATTGTTAAATTATTTGTTTTATATGCTCTGTTATAGGCGTGTTTAAATTAGGGGTGCCAACCAAATAAGTCTCCGGTTGAACATAAGAGGGTAAGCAGGTGGATCTAACAAAGGATCTAGAACGGATTATTTGCGTCTAACATTTTTGGAAAAGAACTAAGATTTATTTGGCCAGGTGGTGCTCTGTTTTCCGCTTTAAAAATAGCTGCGACATTTATTCAGGTAGCATCATTGTAAAGTGGGAAGTGACTTCTTTTGTCTCTTACTATGCACATAAGAATCTCACTTGACTCCTCGGAGCTCTTGTCCCTACACATTTCTGCCACAGTTTTAAAAGATTGGGGAAATAGATTAATTGGCAATATGACCCTATTCCCGCATATTTCTTTATGGCATTTTTTATTTGAATTGTGTTTTGTGTTTCATGAGCTGTTGGCTTCCAGTACCAACATCGTACTCAACTATACATCATCTGTGCATGTTCAGAATGACCTTCTTAAGGAATTAGATTACATACTCGGAGGTAAAACGCGTCATGGATCTTTAAATTGTATATCCCCTGTGTGATCCTCTCATCTAAATGAGTTTCAGAGCTGACCATGGCAAAGGCGGAATTAAATTGACGAATTTTATCCAAATAATTTCTTGGTCTAAGTCTCGTAGCCCTGTTTTCAGATTGGGAGTTTCCAATAAGTTCCTGAAAGGATGGTGAATTCCGCAGATGTGGTAAACGGTTCTTTCATTTATGGCAACAAAGAGTCATTTTGAAATGTTTCAGTCAGTATTTTCTTTGCTTAAAATGTAAGTCACCACAATGTAAACATTTAACGTTCATTTGTCTGAGGAGATGTATCCGTGATGTATCACCACGGTAGTACTGCATACTGCCACTCTGTATTCTTCAAATGTTCCATTGGGAGGTTGATGCGAGCGGTCACGTTCGTTTTCCATCCAGCCACTTTTATTTACAAAAATAAATTATTAAATTTTGACTCTTGATATGTGATATTTATTTGACTTGCATGTGTAATTAGACCTTGCATCTTTTAGTTTTTAGGTGTGAACATACAGCGATTATTTATCATCATTAATTTATGTACTTATTTATTTATTGTAGAGCTTTTGTAGAAGCATGTTGATTGAATTTGAATTTTTAGATCTTGTAATCACTCTGCCTTACTTAACTGACGATTCCAAATGCACGTACTTTGTTAAAAGGAAAATAAATATTGTTATTCTTAAAACATACTCCTTAATATTTTTATCTGTGGTGTAATCAACGAAGTTAAAGGCGGCCGTGAATCAACTATCGAACCGTGTCAGAAACGTAAATAAAACGAGTGAGTTCCATATTATCGACAACCATAGAAATTGACCGAAACTGAATTATTCCCATTTGGTCGACACTGAAATATTCCCATACGAATAAAACAACGAGAATGCATAGCAAATCTTTGCCTGCTAATTACTAAGCTAGAAAATAACCATAATGTCTATCTGCATAATGCCTGCCATGCGAGTTCGTTCTATTTGGTATTGAAAATAATTGAGGTTAAGTTCCAGAAAATAATTCAGAACAATTAAAATTTTATAATAATTATTGTTACCTGTCTCTTTTTAGTTGTGTTTAAAATAATATTTAGGCACTTTTGTAGTTGTGTGTCTTTTGTCTTTTAAGCCTACATTATTTTATTCAGAGAAGAAAAATGAAAAACCCCTCGTCTATAACCTTAGTGGAGAGAAGTTGATTTTAGGGTAGGCCTAACTTATACCATTTTTATACTAGGCTAAACTGAACAGAGTGTAACATTTTACAAACTTCAAAATGAAAGAAATAAAGAAACGTAACAAATACCTGCCCCAAAAACAAGTGAAAAGTGATGAATCTACTGATAACGAAATGGAGATGCCATATCAAGAAACAGAATACAAGAAGTGGTATGATGAGGTGAGTTTTATCTTAGTTAATTTTGACGAAGTTAAGTTAATGGGTTAGGGATGAGCATCGATAGTCAATGTTTTTCTATCAATGTTCGATGTTTTTTTACGGCTGCACTTTACTTTAGATAACTTCTTGATCAGCATTGTACGTGTTATTAAATTTATGGAAAGTAAATAAAAGAAACGTCTTATAACACTTAAAACATATATTTACGCTTATACTGTTACTCACAAGACGGTAAATATACAAAACAGATGGTAAGTGGTGATCGATTTCGATTGGACACTCCAATCATCATCAGACTTAATAGGCGAATCTTTAGGCTTTACTTTAGGTCCTACTCATTCGAATGAAAATATCGTTTGATATATCGATTATTCGATATATCGTTTGGTTAGTTAGGTAAGGTTAACCTAACCTAACTAAGTTAACCAAACAACTTATATTGAATGAAACAATCTACGAATAATTGATACTTTCATTTGAATGAGTGTAGGACCTAAAGTAAAGTGCAGCCTTTTTTACATGTAGCCTATGTTTCGTCATATAGCCTAGGCTACATCGATGTTTTCGGTCAAGTTTTGAGAGTACTAAGTAAAAGCATAGGCCTACAAATAATAACTGAAAAACATTGATGTTTTCGCAACTATGTTATCTGAACATCAGTGGCTGCTGTCGAAGCTACCATCGATGGTTGACCTCATGGGCGCCCACAGGGGGTTCAAGGGGGTGCACTACACCCCCCTGTCTTAAAAAATTACAGTTATGCAAAATTGTATAGGCCTACCGGTCATAGCACAGTCATACCAAAAAACCACATCCTACCACAGTTGTACCACAGTCATAAACTTAGCAAAAATTGGATGAAACATTAGTTTGTTTTGAATATTTTAATCGATAGGCCTAAGTAGGTACCTTGTTATGGCATATCTTAAAAATAACTTATTGAATGTAAATCTATAGGCCTATTGATTTTCCGTTTAGGGTCTTTACAAGTAGAGTAAGTTAGGCCTGCTGCCCGCCACTCTTTTTCCATTATTAGGATGTTGTATAGGCCTACTTGTAAAATATACATTTTAATAATAAGTTACACAGCAAATGAAAACTGAGTGATAAATGTTAATGCAAACTTTTTTTTAATGTTCTGAGCTATAACTCAACATGACACAACCAAGTCTAGGCTATATCAAAACATTCCAAAATCATAATAACTAGTGTACCTGTTGCTCGAATTCGAGCAATTGCATTACAGGTGACTCAAAGATTATGGAAATACTCACAATCTACACAACAGTTAGATATAATCAAAATATTTTGTAAATATCTTATCTTTTTCAAAAAGTTGATCTTGTTTTTTTAGTGTTTTCTACAAATTTTTCCCTCTCATAGTCGCATTAGGTTGTCTATGATAACGATTATAAATGAAAAAAAAAACATTATTTCTATTTCTTCTACTTGGTTGTGTTCTATGACTTTTGTGTTCTATGACTTTTTCTATGTTTCCATTGTTTACAAATCGGTTATTTCAATGATTGCTCAAGATATGTAGAACAGTGTTAATTAAGTTTTATTTTTAGCCTATATCAAATTGTCCAGGATTTCTCACTCTTTTCCACTCTATACACCAACCCAAGTTTCGTCTACAGATGCAATATGCCAACGAATATCACCTACGTACAATCTCCAAGAAGTGGTAAAAAAGGCAGAAACCAACCCATACAATAGATATAAGTTAACTCCAAAAGAAAAGAGTTACTGTGATAATAGCATTTTCCACTGATTTGGTAATAGAACATTATAGGCTATTGCAAAACATGACACGATGCAGAAGAAAATCCATTTTAAAATCAGAAAAACCGAATGCAAATACTGTACTTCATTTTGACAAATTCAATAAATCACAATTAAAGTATTAACAGCTGTTTCATTAAAAAGTAGTGTAGAATTATGCATATGGTCGTAATGTAAACAAATATGGAGGCAACTTTAAAAGCTTCTGGGGCAGAGCCCCAAGGGAATTGACCTCGTTCCTCTTTTGATGGCTCATCTACAGACCAAGACCTTTCTTTAGAGACCCCTACCAAGTTTCTACGCCCAGCCGTTCTCTCAAATTAGCTGTGACAAAAACGCCGTTTTCCTCCATAAGAATAACATGGGATGGGAATTCAAAGGCCACTGGGGCAGGGCCCCAAGGGAATTCACCATGTTTCTCTTTTGATGGCTCATCTACAGACCAAGACCTTTCTTTAGACACCTGTACCGAGTTTCTACGCCCAGCCGTTCTCTCAAAATAGCTGTGACAAAGAAAAACAGTTTCAAATTAATATATAGATTAGCCTACTACACATCAAGGACTGCCAAATAAGTCAAATTAGTTTAAAATCAAATATAGGACATCACAACCTAATTTATATAGTAGGCTACTGTCTAGAGTGTTTTTCTCTGATCTTAGGCTATACGATTGTCTTGAGTTATTTGAGCATCCCTAAGGACAGTTAAATAACCGTTAAATTGCGTGCTATTTCTGTGTTGCATAACTGCACATTAAACAGTAGTTTCTATTGTGTAGATATAATCCCTTTTTCCGCCCTAGACTGTACTCAGAAGGTAAGTTTAGGACTTTATACGTGTCACAACTTGGCTGGCACATTTGCTTTCTTTTCTACCTTATCCAACCTTTCTAGATCCTAGCTTCTAAACGCTCACAGCTGGTGAACCTGGCCCCTGGCAGGTGCTTCCTCCTCTTGCAGGACAGTAGGGCATGGAGTTCCCCAAGGATTCATCTTGGAGCCCGCTTATTCATCTATTTATTTGTTTGTTGGTTGTTTTTTTTCTTTGTTTTCTTCTGTTCATCATTGTGATGAATGACCTGGACAATGATGTTGGTACCCTTCTCTTTGCCGATGACACCACTCTCCTATAATTTGGTTTCAATCCTTCGGGGATAAATGCAGATATGGAGCTTAGACTGTAAAATGCTTCAGCCTCGTTTGCAGCAAACCGTTTCCAGCTCGACCCTGACAAGACCCAGATAGGCTATTAATAGATTCCTTGAGTCTGCTCCCTTCTAAAGCTGAGATCAATTGTGACAGAGAACAACCTGGCCATGGTCTACTTTGCCCTATTCCATTGCCTTGTTACTGGTAGACTTCTTTTATGGGGGCATTCCCCAGGCACAGTGGAGACTCAGAATATTCAAAAAAGGGGCTTAAGACTCATGACCTTTAGTGACAGCCGAGCTCATAGTAAGCCCCGTTATGTAAGACTGGGAATATCTACTGTCTTTGGCCACTAAATTCTTCTGTACCTTCTTCTATCTGAGATAATCATTTAAAGACCTTACGTCTTGTGCTATGGTTCATTTGCACAACACCAGGCAAAGAAACATGCTGGATGTTCCCCGTGTCAGACTCTCTAGGACAGCCGCTACCTACAAAGTTTATGGACTAAAAAATATTTTAACAAACTTATACTGGTCACTAGGGGTTGGAGAAGAGACTTCTTCAAGGAAAAACTAATTGTGGTTCTGAAATATCAAGCCGACGGGTACTACAGTATTTTGGAGTTCATGGCTGATAACAAAATTGCTAACCTACAACAGTTGTAGCCATCTTTCCCAAATTCCAGTTTTTAACTCGTATAATATGAATACATTGTATTTGAACTGTTTTCGTACACGCTCCAAGTTCCTTTTATGTTATGTGGGAAAAAATATAGTTTTTTATTTCGTTATGACACAGTCCATCCCCAATTTTGGGTGAAGATGAAGAAGTAGGTAATAATGTTTCTGCAGCCAGATTGCACAATACCATGTTTTGCTGTCCATACCAGTGGCATTTTTTTCAGGAGGTATTGTACAGTGTATGCCTACTGAAACGCTTCCCAAACTATAACAACCATGGACGACAAAATTAAATAAAGAAATTGACATATTCTATATATGAAATATTTGTAATATTTTGATATCCTAATATCTAATTTGGTATTAGGCCTCTGGTATACAAAGCCTACAACAAATTCTGAATATATTGTTGATATTATTTTGATACTTACCATAGTTGACATATTACTTTCTCCCCCTATACCATAGTATATGGAGAAAGTATTGTTTTCGTCAAAATTATTGAGTTGACTTTTGAATGGATATATCCGTTTTGGGTCCCCCTGAACACAAAAAAGTGGTTTTCAAAGTGATGTCTGTATGTGTGTGAATGTGTACAGAGCTAAAGACCACACCTGTTGTCCGATTTTGATGAAATTTGGTATGTAGGCACTAATCCACTGTATCTCCAGGCAGTTTTTTTTTATTTTGGTTTTCAATGGTTATTAAAAAAAACCATAAAATAATGGAAAAATCGGATTTTCTCAAAATGGCTTGAAGGATTTTGATAAAAATTTAGTATGTTCTAGTCCTTAGGAATCTGCACAAAATGGTACAAATCTCATTTGTGTAAAAATTACAGTTCAGAAGTTATTGTAACTTATGTTAATTTCCCATGAAAACCCCATTAAATACAATAAATCAGATTTGAGAAAAACCCGGTTTTGATTAAAGTTAGTATGTTATGGTCCTTTAAATTCTGATCAAAATGGTAAAAATCCCATTTCCGTAAAAATTACGGCTAAAAAGTTTTGTAACTTATGTTATTTTCCCATAAAATAAAAAATGGGATTTTAGGATAAAAGCCGGTTTTGATTAAAATAATGTGTTATCGTCCTTATTATAAAAAAATAGTGAACCCCCCCCCCCCACATTGCTGAATGCTATTGCAACTTTTGACATTTTCCCTAAAAAATATCATAGTTACTCCCACCGCTTCCGCTTACCCATGATAAAGGTTGTTCACAAGCTAATGGGAGAAAATATGTCAGATTGCTGATACCTTTTATTTTGTGGTTGTTTTAGCTACCCAATAACCCATCAGACTCCCCAGAAAACATAGAGTCAGATGTTATAGGATTGAAAACTGAAGCTGAAATGATATTAAAACGAGAAGAAGAATTTTACAGTAAGAGTAAGTACAGTAATATTTCTCTTTACTTCTTGCTCAATTATTTTTTAGTGTCAAGAAAAATTGGATGTTAATTAATAATGTAGGCTAGCTAATCAAATTGAGCAACATATGAACTAGATCTTAACTACGGTAACGTAATTGAAGGCAGCTTTTGGTATAGGTTTAATTAGTGTAGGCCTACAGTTTACATATTATGATTTTAATTGCCTGTTAGACAGCATTTTAGAGGTTTCAGTCTTAGGGTAATTTTTATATTAAAGAGTTTTCTTCTCTTGAAATTACCAATGGTTAAACTTGATTCTCTAACCACTGATCAGCTACAACTTCAATACGTGTAGCCTAAATTATAATTTGTCTTCCTGCTGTTCATACTGGAGGGAATGTAAGACAATTGTAAACAAAGTTTTATGTTACATTTGTTGCTATTGTTGATGAATAGACTAAAAATTCATATTAACCAATAAGGACAAGGAACTTTTTGCACTACCCCTGAAAAAGCATACATAAATATGTTTCTTCAGCAAGTTAAGATTCAATGATTGTTAAAATTGTTATGTTAACAATGCTTCCTTAACCATCAGAATCCAGCCGTAACGGTCACACAGACAAATCATGGTTGAAGACAGTGCTGTCTAAGGGCACAGCGTCAGACAAAGTCGCAGCCAATGTTGTTACTATCCAGGACAATCCTGTGTACAACCTGCCAGCGCTACGACACCTAGTAGGGATGGTCAAGGTCGCCAAGAAAAAAGAATGTCTCATCGTTATGGGTAAGTAGGTATTGTACTTATTACATGTCTGTGTGTATAAAATCAAAGTTGGTAAATGTTTATTCCAATTGAATGCATTTGGCTTAAGTCCGTTGGATCGTTGGATGTTTACTTTTAGTTGTACAGTTGAACTCCGGTTAACCGAAATAAAGGGGGGAGAACCATTTCAGATAACCAATTTTTTGGTTAACCTGTCATTGCTAAAAATAGGCTATGTATTACCACAGTGAGTTGGAAAAATTAATTTAAAACAATGTCTAAATAATACAGTATTTTATGTCAGCTACAGAAATGTTACAATAGGTTAGAAAAAACTTTAAACTAGACACCTGATGTTACTAGAAAGCATTTTATATTACGCATTACAGTAGACCCTCTCTGCATCATCCGGCACTGCACCACTCCGGCATTCCAGTAATCCGGCGTCTTTTGACGCAACCGCGGCAAAATTCTGATTATCTCATGCGGCAGCGTAGACACCATCATTCTCTCCCACGGTCATGAAAACGTCATCATCATCTTGCGCGATCACGGTAAAATCATTAACATCTCCTGAGGTCATGTAGACATTATCGTAATCTTCCGCGGTCGCGGCAAAGATTTTATCATCTCCGTGAAAACATCATTGTCTAATCACGCGGTCACGGAAACGTCGTCATGCACGATCGTGGCAAAATCATTAACATCACCCGCGGATGTATAGACGTTATCATTGCCTCCCGCGGTCACGGAAACGTCATCGTCATCTTGCGCGATCGCGGCAAAATCATGAACATCTCCCGTGGTCATGTAGACATTATCGTTGTCTTTCGCAGTCGCGGCAAAGGTTTTTATCATCTCCCGCGGCCGTGAAAACATCATTGTCTAATCCCGCGGTCACGGAAACGTCATCGTTGTCATGCGCGATTGCGGCAAAATCATGAACATCTCCCGCTGTCATGTAGACATTATCGTTGTCTTCCGCGGTCACAGCAAAAATTTTATCATCTCCCGCGAACGTGAAAACATCATTGTCTACTCCCGCAGTCACGGAAACGTCATCGTCGACTTGCGCGATCGCGGCGAAATCACGAACATCTCCCGCGGACGTATAGACGTTACCATTGCCTCCCGTGGTCACGGAAACGTCATCGTTGTCATGCCCGATCGCGGCAAAAGTGGTTTCCGACCGCGCGATCTTCGGAGACGTTTTTTAATTGCATTTTAAGTGTTTTTATTGATAACATTCCAGTAATCCGGCAATTTCACTAATCCGGCAGTATCACGGTCCTATATCTGCCGGATTACTGAGAGTCTACTGTACTTATATTTTAGCCCTGTATTATTTTATGGAACCATTTCGGTTAACATGGGTTTTGGTTAACGCGAATTCGGTTAACCGGGGTTCTACTGTATACTAAAATTATCAACATCTCTAAAAATAATTAAATATAAATCTTTTTGTCTGTTTGAAACTATCGACTAAACCCTTTTTTTTTACTATCGCTGAAAAAGCATGCATGAATAGACACATATGTTTGTTCAGTAATTTAAGATTCAATGATTGGCAAATTTGTTCAGCAACAAATATAAATATGTTATAATCTGTGAAAGCCTTGAAAATCTAAATTGTTAACAAATATTGCGAAAAATTATATATAATTTGCCACGGATACAATTAACTTGAGCTGCATTTATAAAACCAAGGTGTCCCGATTGATTTAGCAAGAAATGTATTGTAGCATGTACCAGTACCTATAACAACTTTGTTTATTATATAATTTTTGTTTGTGGCTTAAACATTATTCATTGTGCTATGACCACCTGAGGTGTTTGATTTTATTGCACTTACACAATTTCAGTCACAGCTCTGACTCGTCAATGAAGTGAATGATCCAGGTTTTGGATTCTATCAAGCCATAATCACACCCTTCTTCATTGCTGTCAAATAATCGCCTTGACATTGCAAATTAGATTATTCAAAGGTCTCTGAGAAACACAATTATGATAGAAGCTGACAACGACAACACAATTCATCTATTACAAGAAGTTGGTGCTGTGACTGAAAATTTGGTATGAAGCCTTAGTTTAATTATTATTGAATGAACACAGACTAAATTAATTTCCACCATGTATACAATGTCGTGTTTTACCAACCATGTAAATAACAGGCATTGCAGTTTAACACATTTTATTACTTTATAGAGACTTTGACCGACCTTTTCCTCTCGGATTTGCTGAGACCGAACAAGAAACTGTTGAGGTTTGATCAGCAGCCGCTGACCATGCTACAGGAGCTATCCTCAGGCAATGCTGTGACTCGGCGCAAGTTCTTGTGTCATTGGCTGTTTGAAGATAACCTCAAACATCTGTACCTCCAGTTTGTCAACTCACTAGATGTCGTCAGCAAAGATACGGTGGACGCTCACAGAGAGAAAGCTGTCACTGCTATGTACAAGTTACTTTCCAGCAACCCGGAACAAGAATCGGTAATCTTTGAATAATTTTTTTTCCTCCAGAGTTTCATGCAATCATTTTGATAAGATTAGTTATTTTCCTTACTGTCAATAACTGAGTACCTGGGAAGTAATAGTGCTCGCCTTCTATCTATAAGGTCGCTGGTTTGATCTTGAGAAGTTATTGGCTTTTTGATGGCTCCTAACATGGCCCAGCTGTCCTTGATCATTAGGCTTTTAAATTTTAATGATAATGGCCAAAGGAACAGTTGGGATTAGTCATGAGGGTACCTAAAAAGCTACAAAATATTTTACTCTATTCTATAAAACTTCATTTAAAAAATTAAATACACCCAGTTGCGTCACCATCCTAATTAGTAATGCCAATGACTTTATTAAGGCAAAACAAACTTTGTTTACAAAGTTAAACCGTCTAAATGTATGCATGGTAAGTGTAGAATATAGTAAGGGGTTTTTTTTTTGTAGCTTCATTTATGACCAGCTGTTTCTTTAGCCACGGCCATTTACCAAACGCCCAGTGATCGAGGACAACTGGGTTCAGTTTTGAACCTTTAAAACCCTACTGTCATGTCTGAGGATTAAACTGGCGACCTTATGATTAATATACAAGCACTATGTATCACGACTATTGATAGTTGTTGTGACAATAATTTAATCAGGAATGAACTAAATTAAATAAGACTTCATATTTTTAACATGTCTTTTTTAAGAATTCAAAAACAATAACAATATTTGTTTACATCTGATCATAATATCCTAAATAAAACACATGTTTTATTTGCAGTCTTTATGAAACATCCCCCTCCTTAAAGATCAAGTCTCCTTGGTCTGGAGGATGTACTTCACACCCGTGTGTAGTCTTGTAACTTGAGTTGTCCTCTCCCTCTCGTGGTTTTGGACTTCTGGTTTTGAACCCATAGCCGACATCATTACTCGGCGAGCCCCTCGCCTGTCGCACCACCGATGCAAGATGTTCTCGAAGAGTCCGGGTATCAGTCTCCAAAGACAACCCAAGAATCTCTTTGACCGCCTCTAACTAAATCCGATGCTTGATCCGATTCCGTATTACCCAGTACCTGAGGTACGGTTCTTGGGGGGTCAGTAAGCCCCATAGTTGTAGTAGCAGGTGGTAAATATGTCGGCGCAGCAGCCCAGCCGTACACAGCCTATCATCACTTTACCAACGGGCATTCTGCTTCTTCCAAGACGATGAGAATCTCTGCCGTAATTCCGCAGTTCCAGTGGTCGCCAAACCATACTGTTCTATTGTCCTCATGAGCTCCCCTTTCGAGAGGTCATAGATCCAACCCACGCGACCGTCCCGGGGCTGCGACCCCAAGGACATATCGCTAGCACGGAATACGTCAACAAAGTTGTCACCGTCGTAGCCACTACCGATGAAATCGCTGGTCAAACGGGTGAAGACACCGGCTACAATGAAGATGTTGTCATCACCGACAGTTCGGAGGTAACCCCAGAACTAGTCGTAGTAAAAGGAGACGTGATGGGCTTACCGCCCAGCATAGACGTCGTACTCGTGGTCAGAACTATATTTAAAACTCAAATACCACGACTAACCCACAAAAATAAGAGCAAAACCAATTAAAATGAGTTAAACACCGTACTATTAAATCAAACCAATTATAGGTGTGAAAGTCAAACCACAAACTCAATAAGGGTTCTCACTCAAATAATATTCAACCATAAAGCTCAATTAAATAGCAAAACAAAATTACTAACTAATATCTATGTATACAACCACTAAATAAATTAGGGTTCACAACACACCACACTGTAACAGAAAACAGGTTAGGCCTTTCCAACCGACTATAAAATCACAGAAGGTCTGCCTAAAATTCTACGCAACAGCTCAGGTCCGCAGCAAATCTGCACAAGTCCACAGCAAATCTGCACAAATAAAATTATTTTGTTCGGGCACCGTTAATACGTCAGCAACTCAGCACCACTGCCAACCTCAGTCCCTGTTCGCAGGCGCCATCTTGCACTGGAAAAAATATTAAAAGTGCAGTCGCAAACGTTTGCCGAGGATAGCTCAGCCTACAATGGCTGGGTAAAGTTCCAGGGTCTGCGATAAGGGAAACCACTAGGCCAAAAGCCAGTTCTAACCGTTATAGGACTGGCTCATACACGGGCACTGTGCACAAGTCAAAAACAAGTCACCAAAACAAACGTGCAATAATCACCACCAGGCCTACGCCGATTCTCCATTCTCTTAGGGGGTCGTTGCTGACTACGCAACTGGGGCTTCGTCCTAACTAACCAATAGTTAAGCCCAGAGTGCCTAAAACAAAGTTACAGGACGACTTGCCAATAAAAACCACATAGCGAGTTAGGCATGTTTAGTCATAGGCAGAGTGACTAAACCTCTAGTAGCTGGTCTCAATACATAAAAAAAACCTACTACTACTACTACTACTGCTGTTACAATCAACGTTATATTTGTTAGCTGGGCTTCTGTTAGTAGGCTAATAAAATTAGCAACTAGCCTACTGGCCACGTGCTTCCAACTACGCACCCCAAATCGTGTAGCCTAGGTTTGTCGGGCCTCAGAGTTATTAGTAAAATAACTAACTCTTGGTACAACGCAAAATAATATCTACCAAAGTCAATAAAATATATTATTTGCGCTTCAGCGCCTGCCCAGAACCTTTAGGAATGTACTGCAGTATTATTCATGACAACTGTAAATCCTAGCTACCGTATCAGGATTATACCAGCACGTTTACAACTCGACCAATAAAGTTTGAGATGAATATTATCAAAATATTAAATCTACTCTTAAACCACAATGTAAGGAACGTCGTCCACTCACCACTAGCGGGCCTCTACCCAAATCAAACTCCAACACTCACTGTCAACTGTCCACCAGTATAACCACACCACCAACGTACACCATTGACACCAATGTCCACGTACACGCAACGTCTCCACAAGACACCAGCTCACTGCTCCAAATCTACCACTCAAATGCCTAGGCTATCCTGTAGTTCCAGGATACCCAGGCTTATCTGAACTGAAAAGCCGGGTCAAAGGGCGCTAGCTAGCTTCGCCGCTGCTGCTTGCTTACCTCAACAATCGCGCGGCCAAATAGTGAAAATATACCCCCTAGAAAAAACCTCGCTACATAGTTCAAATGTAATTTTTAAATTATTGAACTTTTGAATCAATTTAAAAATTTCCTACCACTCTGATTTCATTGCTAAAATCGTAATACTTTTTACAGGTGCTTCTAAAAAATTTAGTGAACAAGTTGGGAGATCCGAACCAGAAAGTGGTCTCTAAAGTGATTTACTCACTCACTCAACTACTGAGAGTTCACCCAGTGATGAAGCAGGTCGTAGCCAATGAAATTGAGCGCTTCCTTTTCAGGTAGTTATTCCATATGTTATTTATTTTTAGCATACCAACACTATTTTAATAACAATAATAGCTCTACACTCCTTAAATAGTGTGTTGGGTGACATAAGTACAAACTAAGAAGCAAAAAGAGGTGTTGTGTGCAATCCTACAAAACTCACTAAATGCTGTCAACTTCCACCCAAGCTGGAGACCGTGTATTTTTAATGTGTTCTCTATGTTCACACATTGTGTTATGGTAGACAAACAGTAGATTAGTATCCTGTGCTGCTCCTATTTCAATGTCCACTTTATTTTCCAGGCCTAACATTGGTGCAAGAGCTCAATATTACGCAATCTGTTTCTTATCACAGTATCTGTTTGTCAAAGAAGACTCACAGTTGGCAGAAAACTTGATATCCATTTACTTTTCATTCTTCAAAGCAAGCATAAAAAAGGTAACTAATTGTAATTATTTTAATTCTTCAAAGCAAGCATCAAAAAGGTAACTAATTGTAATTATTTTACTTTGTGCTACACATTGTTGGTTAAGTAAAAAAAGGATGTTTCTAAAAAAAGTCTCTCATACTTAAGTCTTAAAGACTATACAAATTTTATCTCAATATCTTGACTCAAATTTATCTCGGTGAGCTCTGTAAAATAATTTGACCTAAAATTATTCTCACCAATTTGTTATAGTTCTTTCAAATAATACTAATTTCTTGGATTGGCTAATAGTAACAGTACCTGTTCAGGGAGACGTAGATTCACGTATGATGGGAGCTCTACTGATGGGTGTGAATCGAGCGTATCCATACGCACAAATGGAGCGTAGTGAGCTAAGTGAACACATAGACACCATGTACAAGTTGGTACACGTCACTAGCTTCAACATTAGCCTGCAAACACTGTGTCTCCTCTACCAGATAGTCGGACATTCTGCTGACAGGTGATTACATCTTGAACAATTACGAGGGCAATTCAGAAACTAACGTAAAGTAGTGAAGGCAGCATGGCTGTTTTTGTACAAAAGTGTGTAGCAATTTAGTCAGCATCCAGTTGTTTTAAAGTAAAGGTTGAATGATCACTTATATAAATGTAATTTTTATTTTAAAGCTAGGGACACAAATGAAAGTCCTGCCAAGTGGGAGGTTTGAACTGCTATAATATTTTAAAATCATTAAATATTTAATCATAGCTTTTTGCCAGGAACAAAGGTGCTCGGATTACAAAAGACCATCTATGAAGGTTTAATTGTGTCATATTTCAACATCCAGGCACCCTACATCCTGGATTTAGCCCTGAGCAACTACCATCTTGTCATATGAAATAACAAATAAACGGTATGAGCAATCTGACACATACTTTCTCCCATTAGCTTGTCAACAACCTTTATAAGCATATCTTTATAAGGTAAGTGGTGGGAGTTTACCTATTTTATTTTATAGCAAAAAACACAAAAGTTGTAATAACTTTTGAACCGTAATTCTTACAGCAATGGTGAGTTTGCACTATATTGTTTTGAATTATAAGGACCATAATATACCAATTTTAATCAAAAACAGACATTTTTTTTAATCAACTGTTTTGTTATTTTATGGGTTTTTATGGGAAAATATCATAAGTTACAATAACTTTTGAACCGTAATTTATACAGCAGTGAAAGTTGCACCATTTTGTTCAGACTTTAAAGGGCTATAGCATACAAAATTGTAATCCAAATTGTTTGGGCCATTTTTGAGGAAATTCAATTTAACTGTTATTTTGGTGGGTTTTTATGGGGAAATCACCATCTTTATAGATAAGTTTTGTCTGTACATTGCTCAGAATTATATATTTTTTGGTTATTTTTACGTTTTATACATAAAAAAGCCAAAGCAAGTCTCGTCTCAATTTCTGTCTGTCTGTCTGTCATGGCCCAGAAGGCATTTTACACGGCCTACTCCAAGAAAACTAGAGTACCGGTTATAATTCTAATAGTTTGATTGTATTCACAGGATTGGGGAGAGTGTCTTTAACCATTGAAATATGGCTTCACTATTTTATAAATAAAATAACAGACAATAATAAACCAAATTTTGTGCGATTTTTGTCACGTTTTCTCCCTATGTTTACTACATACATCATTTATGAAATAATAATCATCTGTTAAGAGAATACGTGTTATATGTTAAGTTCTGTTCTCTTTGTAATATGGGCAAAATTGAAACCACATTTCATTTCATCGCTATATTAGTCAGAGAAATTTAGGATATGACCTTAAAAATACCCAGTGCACAATACTGGTTAATTCGTTCCACGCAGGGGACGTGCCGACGCGCTACAGCAATAACCTCTCGCTCGTCTGCCGGGTTGGCACGTCTAAAACTAAATCCAACAAAACAGTTATTGGATTCCTTTAAAATGAAAATAGAAATCTTTCCTTAAACCAACAACTATGGCCGATATTTTAAAGCGTATTACAGCATATGTTGATATGTAACTATAAAATAAACTAAATAACTAGCCATTATCCAGGTCAGGAACCGTAGATTCTGTCTGTATCAAGTTGTACTTGAGTTTTGATAACCAGGAAAATGACCGTGAATCAGTGTTGTACAAGACTGGGAAACTTACATTTTTTAGATCATCGGCGTCAAACACTGCGTGATCGCGGATGTTGCTGCTATCTCGGAAGATCTTTGGGATTTTGTTTTGATCGTAACAGTCGTTTTTCCAATGCGTCACTTTCGCTTTTGACTCACCGCAATTGCGCTACTATCAGACAATGCTATTGGACAATGCCGCCAATAGGCCTGTGGTCCATATATTTTATTGGTACGTGGGTCTACCCAAGTATCCACAACCGAATTTCAACGACTCTCGCTACTGGTACTTTTCCCAATAACGAGTTTAATCTTGAGTTAATAATTAGTTACCAAATAGAACAAATAAGATTTATATCCGGGTGACATTTAATTGCAAAGCATTTACTTTGGCTTGAAACTGTCAGATATTGTGTTTTCGAATGTTGTGAGTATTTCTTAGGTTTGCAAGCATATCTGGAAAACTGCACACCTAATATGCAATCCATCTGTTGATCTGAATATAATAAGGTTTAAACTGACTACAAGATCCCCGTCCACACAACGGGCACACAGCTAGTTAAAAATTAAAATTTCAAAAAATTAAAAAACCCATGGAGATGCCAAGTTATACATACCAAATTTAATCTAAATTTTAGTTGTTTTCATTTTACCAACCATAGGTTACTTTCCAAACGGCCCTTGTATTTTGAAATAGATAAGAGTTTAGTTTAGCTAGCTTACTTCACTTGAGAAAATTGAGTCCACGGTTTAATAGATGCATAGTAAAAGATCGCTATGGAAAACACAGATTTTTTATTCTAATATAGGGCTCTGAGAGTAGATTAAAGGCTGTGTAATTTTATTAAAATAAACATTGTTTTGTTCAGATTCTACTGTGCACTGTACAAGAAGCTGTTGGACCCCCACCTGTTTAACTCAGCACATCAAGCCATGTTTATCAACTTGGTCTACAAAGCCCTGAGGAAGGACTCCAACGTTGACAGAGTACGGGTGTTCATCAAAAGATTGCTCCAGGTATGTTTCTTTGATTTGATTATTTTAAAGCTCAACAACTCTGCTTATTGGGGCCTACAAGATTATGGATAGTTGCTTTTTTTTCATTGAGAAATTATTTTTGACTATTACTTATTCAAACTAATTTTGTTTGGAGTTAGATGCATATATTGAAATTGCACGATGTCACATAACAGAGAAACCCCATTGCAGCAAACCTGCAGACTAAGTGTTATTGTCTGGGTAGCCAAGTGGATAATAGACTCAAGAGTTGCTAGTGTGATCCCAAGGAGGGTCAGTTCTGGACTAACAAAGGATCAACGTTACTTAGTAACAACTAACAACACCAGGGTTTGGACGGTTTCCTAACAAAGCACATAGAATTGTAGAATAAATATAAAGTCAACTCGAAACTCCGTTCGACTCTATACCTGACAAGCAAACTTTACTTGTCACATAGACGTTCAATTAAGTTTTGTTTCTGTATGTTGAGTGTGTAACTGTTTACAGTAGATCTATAGATCTACATTATCCCCTTTTTGTGTTATCCACTATTGAAAAGTATAAATCAACAAGTCTTGATTTACATCGCATTCTATTGACCAGGTTTCTCTGAATGCACCAACACAGCTCGCTTGTGCCTTACTGTATCTGGTGTCAGAACTGTTGTCCAAGAGATCGGCTCTGCTGGCGCTACACACACACAGACAGACAGTCTACGCAGAGGAGGGCGATGCAGACGATGGAGAGGAGCGATACACCGATGCACCTCTAGACGACAAGGTAGACTTTGACAGCTATAATTGACTTAAAGGTACTAGGGCAGACATTTATCTATATGATCCAGCTGTAGCCAATTATTTATTCAAATACAACAGAGTCCTACTAATCTGATCTGATTGGAACTGAACCATGTTTTGTTTTAGCCGGATGGAAATGAAATGAAACTGCAACAAAGATCCAAACAGGGTTTTTTTCAAGACTGTTAAAGGCTATAATGCTCATTCCATTACAACAACACCATAATAAACTAAACTTCCTTGATCAGAAATCAGTTTAAATCAGCGCAATGAACATTATTGAAAATTTCTTTTGAAAGGCTAATTATTTCACCAAGGAAAAGGAAAGAAAATTATTGTAAACTATACTATATTTCATATCACACTATCTATAACAGTAGCCTATAAAAAGTTAAGGAAGAAGATATTATTTTAAACTAAGGTTAAACTATTTTAAACGGGTCCCTAAATTTCAGAAAATTCTTTGGGAAAAATATCCAATGAACGTCCATTCCTATTTTTAACTGTAGAACCCTTTGTGAATGGCTTATTCAATTATGTTCTATTTTAATACAAAATCGGCTACAGCTGGTCTATGACTGGGACGGTAGCGTGGTCCTGTAATCCAGCTACTAGGTGTTCAGGAATTGTGGATATTTATAGGCATGCACTGTGGATGCGATGCTCCCTGGCGTGGATTAAGGTCCGCACTATTGAGTACTACGACTATCTGCAGTACTATCCTGATAATTGGACCAATTCGTTAATTACACGGAAAAAATTTGGTTCGGATTCCACTATAAACTGTAGGTCCCTTAGTTGCCATTGGCTGTATGAGCTATTAATTAACAGCTGTGTCTAAGGAACATGTTGGCCTTAGTCATTAACAAGACTACAAGATTGCGCCACTCATCCTAAATTCATATTTGGGATAAAATACGCACATAAGTCATGTCCAAAAGTCAATTCATTCTACTTAGTAGTGATGCTACACTGTCTTCTCAAAACAGTTTACTGTGATGCCGAAAATTTTTCAGGTTGAAGATTCAAAAGTGACCGACAGTGAAGTAGAAGATGTTAAACCTGATGTAACAGAGGTTAAGCCAGAACCTGGTTGGTTTCATTGTAAGAATACGTCAACCAAAGTCGAAAGTAAAGTGTTTGATGGACGGTCTCGTAACCCGGCTCACGCTGGTGGGGAGTTTGCTGCTTATGAGGAGTTGACGATATTATCACAACACTTCCATCCGACTGTTGCGCTCTTCGCTAAAAACATCCTGGACAGTAAGTCGGTTCACCTTTTAGTGTTGACTTAAGATAAATTTTTACAATAATCAAACATTAAAAAATAGATCAATTATTGATGTGATTTTGAAATAGTAGATTTCTAAATGATGATAGTCGTATGTTCGCCATTTCAATTAAAAGTATGCTGTGTGTGATGGGGATGAAACATATGGTGTGTTTAAACTAAAATATGAATGAAAGATCAATAAGATGTCATGTAGATATGTGTTACTGACTAAGATCAGCTGTTTCTTTAGTCAGGATCAGCCGAAAGATTAAGAACAGATGGATACAGTCTCAATCATAAAAAAAGTACAGACATTTTTCAGCATACAACTCATCAGATTATTGGATAAGCAACATAACTACTCCTCTATCAAGCTATCCAATATCCAAGCAATTCCAGTTTTGTTTTATTCATGCTTGCACTGTAACAGCTCACTCCTTGTTCTGCTAAGTGTTATATTCACAGGTCTTGCGCCTTTGACTGCAAAATGCAAGGGTAAAAGGGTAAAAATGGGGTTCTGTTCTTGATGAGTTGTCTTCTAGGAAAATTTATTACAAAAACCAAATTTATTCCAAATTTAAACAAATATTCGAAAAAAAATATGAACGAAAAAATTATTTTGTTATTGGAATTTATTTGTGATCATTATTGGAAGTTTTTAATAATCTGAACCTAAGTTGGTAAAGACAAATTTTTAAACAAATAATTTGATGTGATTTTTTAACCACTCACAATAGTACAAATGTGTGATTTTTTGATCAATTTGGTCAGCAGTAAATAAGTTGTTTTCCTTACAAGATTGAATACCTGTATTGAACAATGCCTTTGAAAAACTGCCATTTAACAAATCGTATTCACTTTTTTCCATAGTTTGCAATAGTTATTCCCTCTAAGCATGGTCAGCGCCTCCTTAGTATATTTTCCTTACATCAGATCTAACTTTATCAATGCAAACTTATGAATCTGAAAAGAAAAACTTTTGACAGAGACAACACAAATGCATATCAGGGACTTTTCACTATACGAGCAAAGCCATTTAAAGAAATTAATTTAACACAATTTTACCTAGTATAAATCATGCATATTTTTTTTGTAAAGTAGAATGTTGGTTTCCCCCTTCAATTTGGACTATTAAATCTT